GGAGCACGCTCGAGTTCACCGCACTGTGTAAAACGCAACGCCTGCCGTTCGTTATGTACGCCGACTTTGAGGCCCTTCTCGTGAAATCCACGCAGCGATACGGTGTCAATACCGAAGCATTGCACACTCATCAGCCCATGAGCTATGGGTTTATGGTTGTCGCTGCGGACGGTGTACCGGCAGAGCTGATGGAGCAGTTCGACATCCCGCGGACTCCGATCATTTTTCGCGGCTCAGAGACCGTGGACGATGTAGCCAAGCGATTCGTCATAGCTGTCATAGATATGGCCGAAAAAATATCTAAACTGCTGAAGACGACCAACGTGCCGATCGCGATGAGCGTCGAGGATGTGCGCGCGCACGGAATGAAGACCGTGTGCGATTTGTGTGCGAAAACTTTCACCGACGGAAATTGCAAAGTCGCACATCACGACCACTTGTCGGGCCGTTTTCTCAAGACTCTGTGTAACACGTGCAATCTCAAATTAAAAACGCCAAAGTTCGTGCCTTGCTATTTACATAATCTATCGAATTACGACGCTCATTTTTTCGTCACGCATCTGGGACTTGACGCCAACGCGATATCGGTGATACCCAATAGCGAGGAACGATATATATCGTTTTCAAAATACATAAACAACGAGTTCGCCGTCAGGTTTATCGACACGTGCAGGTTCATGGCTTCGAGTTTGGCCGACTTGGCGAAGAACCTCTCGACTGCGGACTTTGCCAAGTTTCGCGAAGTCGCGAAAGTGTTTGCGTCGACGGAGATGCCGCTGGTCACGCGTAAAGGCGTGTACCCATACGAGTACACGGACAGCTGGAATAAATTGAGCGAGACGAGGTTGCCGGCCAGGGAGGAGTTTTACAGCGCGTTGACCGAGACGCACGTTAGCGACGGAGATTACGCGCACGCAAAGCTTGTATGGAATCATTTCGACTGCCACACTCTCGGCGATTACAGTGATCTATACCTGAAAATCGATGTGTTACTCAGCGCCGACATTTTCGAGAATTTCCGCGATATATGCATGTCGACGTACCAGCTGGACCCGGCGTATTATTTCACGGCCCCCGGATACAGCTTCGATGCTATGCTAAAGTTTACCTCCATCAGGCTACAACTGCTTACTGATTACGAATCTATATTATTTTTCGAACGAGGTACGCGTGGTGGGCTGACGCAAGTCAGCAAGCGTTACGCCAAGGCGAACAACCCGAAGACGCCTGGGTACGAAGCCGACGAACCGAACACATGGCTCGTCTATCAAGATGGTAATATTTTAAGATAATAATAATATATATATATATATATATAAACTGTCGCATGAAAAACGCAGATATCGAATTAATGATAAATTGTGGGGGGAAATCGAAGTTTGACTTTTGTCATTGTGACAATCATTATGTACATGCTTATAATAATAATAATAATAATATCATTGTTTCCACATAGCTAATAATTTATACGGGTGGAGTATGTCTCAAAACATTCCTTACGGGGGGTTTTCGTGGTACGCCGGAAATCCGGACGTGGCATTAGCTCAACTCGAGTATATGGATGAGGCGGATGACGTGGGGAGAGTCTACGAAGTCGACATCTCGTATCCGCAAAGTCTGCACGACGAGCACAATGATATGCCGTTCCTACCACACGCAAGCATTCCACGCGGGTCTAAAGTTCGGAAATTAATGGTCACATTCGAACGCAAGGAAAACTACGTCATACATTATATGAATTTGAAACAGGCCATTGCAAACGGATTGATAGTCGAAAAGGTAATCATTATTATTATTATTATTATCATGATTATTGTTACTGCGGATAAAATATCTATATATATGTATATATTATATTGAATATCAATTAATTACTTATTTTGTACATTTCAGGTGCATCGAGTGCTACAATTTCGACAATCTCGATGGCTTGCACCGTATATCGCGTTGAACACGGGGATGCGTGCACGGGCTGCTAATAAATTCGAGGAGCAATTTTTCAAAGACATGAACAACAGTGTATTCGGTAATTTATTTATAATTTTTTGCGAAAAAAAAAAATATTTGCAAAAAAAATATTTGCAAATTTTATTTTTATGTCATAATAATATACCTTACTACCTTACTACCTTACAGGTAAGACAATGGAATCAATGAGAAAACGTATTAACGTAGAACTCGTGTCATGCCCCGTCAGGATGCGAAAACTGATTAACCGCCCGACGTTCAAACAATGCACCAATTATTGCGAAAATCTCGCGGCAGTGACTATGCACAATAAAGAAATCAATTTCTGTAAACCTATTTACATAGGGTTTGTCATACTCGAGCGGAGCAAGGAGTTGATGTACGAGTATCATTACAACGTGATGAAACGTCATTACGGTGACAATATCAGCCTGCTGTACACTGATACTGGTATGTATATCACGCTGTGATCGACTATTGTATTTAATGTGTTATTAACGTTACAACTACTTTACTTGGCAGATTCTCTGATATATCACGTTAAAACACGCGATTTTTACGACGATGTGGCGAATAATCCGAACTTGTTGAATCGCATGGACACATCTAATCTACCACCTGATCACAGATGTTACACTTTGGCACGTATGAAATTACCTGGATACTTTAAGGACGAGATTTCAGCCCGAAATATGCGTCAGTTTATCGGATTACGCGCCAAGTCGTATGCCTACGATATCGAGGGTGCCGTAAATATCAGGTCCAAGGGAGTCCGGGGACATGTTATTAGAAATCACCTGACTTTCAACGATCACATGCGCTATTTATTCGCCGACGACGACGACGACGACGACGACGATGGTTCGGACGCGGAAGATTATCGCGATAAGGAGTTCGACGCGTCGACGGGGAGGCTGATAGCTCGAGATTGCGCGCGTATTGTCATTAAGCGTATACACCGAAACGCCGTGATTGCAGCGATTCCACCGACAACTACACAACACCCGCCGTCTACACCACCACCACCACCACCACCACCTCTACCAACACAACAACAATCATATATGCCGTATACGGCGTATAGAGAGAATATATCGATCCGTTCGTATAAACACCAAGTCAGCACGATTAGGACTAGTAAATTAGTCCTAAACAGATTCGACGATAAACGATATATTCTCCCTAACCGTATTGATACTCTCGCACATGGGCATTATAGAATTGGTTGAATAATCATATAAAAAAAAAAAAAATTGGTATCATTATTACAATTATTATTATTATTATTGTTATCACTATCGTAATTGTTATTATTATTATTATTGTTATTATTACTATCACCATTATTATCGTTATTGTATAATCTATTAAAATGTAAACGGTATTGTGTGTGCCGGGAAAAAATCACAATTCAAATATATATTATATATATATAACACACACGTAAAGCGTATTAATTATTTTTATCTTTAGGGGTAAATACCATATCACATGCAGTAATGCAAACATTTACGGTGATACATTATAAGTAATTAAGTAGGCTTAAAATAAAATAGTATTTCGTATATTTTTTTTTTTTTTTTTTTTTTATTATTATTATTATTATGATGTAGAACGTCATATTATTACATTGTGTAGTGGATAACGAATAATCGTATTTATCATCCAACCTTATCATATTTTATCTTATCTTTATCTTATCTTTATCTTATCATCATTATCTTATCTTATACTTAGCCTTATCTACATATATACTTATCCGATATATTATACCTAGGTCTCGGCAACATTATTATTATTATTATTTTTTAAAAACCCCCGCTCATTCGTGCTGTGATAAGAAGCGAGGATATTTTATATGCCTACATACGGTGTTCTGATGGCTAACACTTATCCATCAGTAAGTCTTTGGAGTTAAGCATTTACGAACGTGCAATAACGATATATTAATATGTCGTCAGAGGAGTGCTCATTTTTCAACTATGTCCACAAGTCTCGATGTGTGGTAAGTTTTATAATGTTGTATCACTCTATTTTAAATTACAATGTATTTATTATTTTTAGTCACCACAATTATTTCAAGAGACTTACAATCCGGATCACTATACGCTACGTATAGTCGAACCCGAGGTCAAGGCCGAGGTCGTGCAAGAATCGTTGGGATTTAATCCCGGTCAGAGATTTCCGTGGATGCCGCCCGATTATTGGACGCAGGACGGTCAACGATTAACGCTAGATTGCTATATCCCACCTATTCTAGACTTGATATCCGGTCAATTCACAAGCGGTAGAGATGCACCACGTAAGTATTAATGTATAAATAAAATCGCTATAGAATTACAATAAAATTACTCATATTTTCAGATAACGTACAATCTAACTATATCAGTGATGACTCCGCGTGGGATCAAGAAAACACTCTACACTGGAAAAAAATAATGTTATCCAAATTTAACGCTGGAATGTAGTACCTTTTAATTTTGTGTAAATAAAATATTATTAATATTTAGAACACTGAAGTCTCTTTTTTTTTCTATCAAATCTAAATAGCAGATTTTTACCTAATAATAATAATAATAATAATTATTATTATTATTATTATTATTATTATTATCATTATTATATAGTGCTGCGACTATGTATAAATAAAACATTTCCGCTAAGATTCCTATAAAAAAATATATATATAGTTATACTTTGAAAAATATTATTTAGAAATAATATAATATGTATGCCTAAATATAAAATAAAATGTTTTTTATTTGAAAAAATCTTATACCCATGTTAAGCATATCAGATAATTCTAATAAGTATAGAGTATATATATATGTGCATATTATACTTATATTATTTTCTATTTTTTTTTTTTCTATCAGATACCTAATATGTATTATTATTATAATTAATATATAACCTTAAAATAAAAATAAATTGAAACTCATTTCTATATATGTATATATTTTTTTTTTATTACAAGTTAAGCAGGAAATTATTGTTAAATATTTTTTCCTTAACCAGATTTATTATAGACTTTATTCAAAGTCTATAATAAACCGGCCATTAGTTTTTCCGCGAAAAATTAAAGATATAGCTAATTTTCCCATATTGTATTCTTCAGCTTCTGCCTTTGAGATGGTGATGTATTTTGGTAAAAATATATTTATGACACCACCTGAAGTGTTGTCCACCAGCTGGCACGCTATGGACAGCCCATATTTTGTCACCACCTCGTTCATTGCCCGTATAACATAGGGCTCATCAACTATTAAGTCTCCAACTGATTTGTTCAAATTGATGGCTTGTTTTTGGAGAGATTTCAGGAACGCCATCTTACGATCTAATGTTTTAAAAAATAATTAAATAAATAAATCATTTACACACTTACAGGACGTTATATAGGATATTAGGTTAAATCGGGTATAATACAATATAATTATTTAACATGTGCTAAAATATTTTACAAAAAACAAACTTAGATGTAGTTAATCCCCGTTTAGTGAAATTGTATAAAATATTTATAATAGAGTTTTTTTTCTCCTTATCCCCAGTACGTCCCTGTGTTATTATTATTTAACGCAACGTTAATATTAGTATCTGACATAAAATAATTATTCATAGAAAATTAACTAATACGGGTTGAACTTCTAATAATTAGTATTATACGATGTGAGTGTATATAATAATAATAATAATAAATTAATGCCCCTCAATAAATAAATAAAACAAATAAAACTCACTTATAATATTATTTCGCGACTGGTGAAAACTTGACAATATACTGCTAATGTGAATGGCAGCGATGATGATGATGATGATGATGATGATGATGATGATGATGATATATGACGATGATAATGATTACGAATTTGAATCTAGGTATTGAATATTACTATTTTAGTTACTATTATCTTATATAAAAATGGATGTTTGTATACAGAAAATTATATCTGTAAACCATATACGATATAATGCCATATAATATATAATAATATTAATAAATTATTAATACTATTATTATTGTACAATAAATATTAAATAAGTAACTCACTTTATATAACGTGATGTGGCTGATGATATAATAAAAATAAATCAGTGCAGGTTGTTCGCGTATTTGGTTGACGAAGACGACTGAATTATAATTCACTGCAATTTAATTAACTTAATGACAGCAGAGACACTAACACCCCATCACCTCCCTTGATCACGCTATATTCGACCGCAACGATCCTTGTGGGTATGAAGATGACCCTGTATCGGCATACTTTGACGGGCGGGCGGAACAATGACATCCCATTGTCCGATAAATATTATTAGCAATACAACAAAAATTGCGGTGACTTTTTTTTTTCACGATTCCTTGTCTTATGCATGTGGGATCAAATACCATACATGCTGACTCACCGCATATATATATATTATATATATATCGATAATATTAGTGCTGATGAATGATGATCGAACAGTGCAATATGCATTGTTAATGCATTACCACACGATTATGGCACTATGTTGTATGTGTATGTAGATGTGAACATTTTCGTTCAAATAAAAAACTCTACGACTGTATAATGTAATATGTACGTGTTTATTCATTAAAATATAATATTATTTAGAAAAATTAAACATTATAATATCATATAAAATCAAAAACAAATATTATTCTACGAATTATTTATAAGCCATCTGCGTAATGCATAAACTCTATGATATGTACATTGTGTGCGATCTAAGTCCATGTGATATATACAGCACGGAGATCCTAGGTCGTAGTTTTCAACACGATTGCGAGAATAGTTAATATTATAATTAATAGAATTATTATTATTATTATTATTATTAGTATTATCATCGTAATTATCGTCAGTAGATGACGTATAAAGTCGATCCAGCTGATTTAATCTGGGACAGTCGTGATCCACGCCCAAATCGATGACATCGACTTCTGGAATGAAATCTTGTATAATCTTACGTTTTTCCGCACCCTTGACGTAGACACACTTGAAATGTAGTGATTTTAAAATTCGCTCGATTTGTGAATATTCCACGTCACCGCAACCCAATGAAAGCTGATGATAGTTACGGTACAACCACATATTCACCGCTTTACTTTTAGCCGTACATGGTGTTTCATTGTGTTTGAAAATATAATGTTGACTACCGCGGTTGTTTACATCGAGAATTGACATTTCTTTTATAAGATATTTAAAATTCAAACCTAGTATGCATTGAATATCTATGATAGCCGACGCCATAATCCACTTCGTCGAGAGTTAATATATATATATACGGTCTTACTGGTAACAGGTTAGGGATCTGACTGTTTCCAATTCTCCGCGAATCTGTCCTCGAGTATAATTATTCTGGCATACGCATGAGCCAGCGAGACTTTTAAATCTTTAATGTATTTATTTACATCCTCTATGGACTCAATGCACGATTCGATTTTATTATTATTTTCTAAAAAATATTTATCGTTCGCCTGCACTGACCCGATTGTTCCTAGTCGAATTATTTGCATTTCGTTCGCTAGGACTCGATCGTTGAACGACGATATTTTTTCATCGTTGGCCGTGATTAAGTTAGTGTGCAAACCTAATTCATTGGTAAACTTTTCATCAAGCTTCGCGATTTTTGAATAATTTATTCCGATCAAATTAACGTGGGAGTCGAGTTGTTCGGCAAATTTTTCTTTCATGTCGGTGATTGTCTTATTCAATTGACTAGACGGCGACCCCCCGAACACATCCATGACGTCGTGATAACTGCACTTATATTACAAGATCGGACTTATTTATCCAACTATTATGCTCGTCGGTAAAACCTAACCAGCGTACGAGCACCCGCTGGCCTTTGGTGCGAATTATTTTTTCCACTAGATAATCATTAGGTAGTTTCGTTTTACGTATTTCTTCGGCGTAGAAACCACCGGCTATCGGGTTACCCTCGTAATCCTGCAATAAGAATGTACACGGCGTAGTCTTGTTCACTTTAATAATTGTAAATATTTCGGTAGACCAATTGGGTAAATATCCTTTTGTGAAAACACCCTTGTATACGCTTACGCGGACTTTGTCGCCCACGCTAAACTTGATTTTTGCGGTTTTCGCGGCGTCGTATTTTAATTTTACCCGTGACGGGTCGTCGTTGGCTTGTTGCGGTGTCACACCAATCGTTGTATGCATCGTTTTATTATAGTCATTAATTAACTCTGGTAAAATAGACGTCCAATTATGAGAACCTATGCTAGTGAATTGTCTAAACATTCGAGCTTTTAAAGTCCTGTTAAATCTCTCAATTATCGAAGCCTTTAAAGCACTGAAAGTGCTATACATTTTTATATTATACTTCTTTACTAAAGCCTCGAAATTTTTATTGTAAAACTCGCGCCCCCGATCGACGTGTAATAGGTTAGGTCTATTCTGTGCAAAAATGCCACTAGCGGCCTTTGACACTTCGTCACCGCGTTTAGTCCTCAATGCGATTCCGTAAGCGTATTTTGTGTAACAATCAATCACAGTCAATATATAATTATAATTTTTATTGACGTTGCAGTATTGGCGCATGTCGACGAGGTCCGCTTGGTATAAATCGTTTTTACCGTAAACAATGACGCGACGTCGTGGGTATGTCCTTCTCGCCGCTCCGTGAAGTTCAGCCGCGATCTCGTGCTTAGACATTCGGAATTTTTTTCAATATACCAGCCTCGACCAATTCTCCACAAATCGATATTATCTCGTTACGAACACCCGTATTACCGGCAGCGAGAGACGAATACAATAATCGTAATCTATCGACCAGCTCGTTAGGATCGTTCCAATATACAATATTGTGTTTCTGCAATCGTATATTTATTCCACTACCAGACTTTCTGTCCTTGAACAGTTTTGAAATTACTTTCATATATTTTGCACCTACGGAAGTGCGGATACGCTCACCGTCTGCGGTCATGTGCGCAGATGTCTGAATTAGAATACGTTTATATACACTTAAATCATCACGTGTATATTTTTCAGCCGCCGGGGACTTGGCAAATAATAACTCGATAAGTCCGGGCGTTATGGGATGAAAACTAGCATCATCATCATCTTCGATGTGTATTTCATTATCGATAAATTTAATTTCTTTGTTACCCAAAACATATTCGCCACTTTTCGATTTTTTAGGTGCGTATACTTTATCTAATCCAGCTGTAGGCCACTGTCCGAGTAGTTCATTCAAATCGTATTGTGTAGTAAGCGGCGGCGATGATGATAATGATGATGATGATGAGGCGGCGGAATGTTTTTTATAGACATCCGGTAACGATCGTTGTGTTGACTGTCGCGACGTAGATGCTGCGGATGATGGTGTGGTGGTCGGTGACGTGGGTGGGCTTTGCGGCTGGTGCACCGATGAATGCGCGCGGAGGGTACCGATATTGTCACGTATTTTATTAAGAGGATCGATAATAGAACCGAGTGTATTATTTACTAATGATTCGGTTTCAAAACGGCCGGTTTTTAGCGCAGAATATTTTTTTTTTATATTCATTCTCGCTTGAATAATATCCGCCAATAACGACGGTGGCGGTGGCGCCGACGGTAAGTTGTTCACCTTTCCCATGATACCGGGCAAATGTGTTATATTTTGACGAACCGGCTTATTATATAATAACATATGTGTCGAATCCGTGTCTATAGCGACCGTTATCACGCTCATGTTCACTGCTGATGACAATAAATTCAAATCTGCCGCCACGCCAACAAGTCATGCAAAAATCTTTAAACTCGTTGTATTTGATATCACCCGAGCAATGTTCGTCGTAAACGTGTTTCAGATTCATTTCGTCCTGCTTGAATAAAACTATGAAATTAGCATTGTCGCGAATCAATTGTTTCGGAACACGCGAATACGACTGGGCTAAATAACACACGTCTATTAAATTATGCCTGGATCTCGAAAAGTACGATCTAATGATATTGTGGTTCTCTGTTATCACGTCGTCGAATAGGAAAACTGAATTCGGTAGAGCTTTCTCGGGCGGTATCACCGTCTCGTTGTCGTTGAATTTGAATAAACTTATACCCGGAACGTCGGATAAAATCTTATCTAGCATGATGTATTTGGCTTGATGTAGTGTTTTCGAATAAATGTATACATTTTCGAATTTAATCCCGTTCTCGTGAACCAATAACGTGAAAATAAGATTCGTTTTCCCGCACCCCGACGGTCCTACAATCAACGCCCTGATAGAATTCGGAAACAGCAGCCCATGCTTAGGTGGAAGCTTCTCGATATCACTATTGCATAGCGATAACCGATCGATATTATCGACTTTGAGTTTTATGTCTTGCCCGATGAATCGCATTGTATAAATACGCGTGTCGATCGTGCGATGTGCTCATACAATGTTACCACGTCGAAAGGTCAAGTCCAATAGCGGTGCGGGTCTGTTGAACACCATAATAAATAGTGTACCATTCGAATTACATTTACCAGGTTATCAGTACTGTGGACCTGGGACTAATTTAGGAAAAAGACTCGCTCTCGGGCAGACCGGCATAAACGGTCTAGATTCCGCGTGTAAAGACCACGATATAGCTTACGAGAAAAGTAATTCTTTATCCGAACGTAGTGCAGCCGACAGCATTTTGGAAGAACGAGCTTGGAGCAGAGTGGGTGCGAAAGACTCTGGTTATAAGGAAAAAGCTGCCGCGTGGCTTGTAACCACTGGTATGAAGGCTAAACGTAAGACCGGTGCTGGATGCGGGTTCGGTAATATTGTCGGCGCGTGTAAAAAAGCGATTAAGAAATCGATTAAAACATGCCCGTCGACGCCGAACATGGGTAAATTAATTAAATCTGCGGTATGTGTTGCCCGAAAACATGTGAAAACAAATAGGGGTGCGAGGAAAAATAAAAATAAACTACCTCGTGTGATCAAAGTCCCTAAAACCGGTGGCGCGCTAGCGTTGATTCCTATATTGGCTGGACTTTCGGCGTTGGGTTCGCTGGCGGGCGGGGTGTCTAACATCGTGAAGACAATACGCAGTATTAGATCGAACAGCGGATCGCCTATACAATTGGGTAAAGGCATGTATCTAAATCCACATAAAAGTGCTGGGGGTTCGTATACTATTGCCCGGAAATCGAGTGTTCGTGGTTCGCACAAAAGCATCGGCGGCAATGGACTTAAGAAGGTTGCTGTTAAAAGAAAAAAAATATCATCGACTAAATTAAAAAATAAAAAGTCAGTATCCACAGTTCGGCGCAAATCGACGAAAACAAATACTGCTAGAAAATCGTCGAGATCGAAAAACTAATTTTACCCGATCGCGCTCTTTATGATTTCGAAATTGTTAAATACGCTAAATTTAAGAAAATACGTCATTTCAGAAGTGTATATTGCATAGACAGGTTGCCCGCCGCCGGACCTAATCACACGGAAAGCGCTGTAGTTAACCTCGACTTTGAAAAAAATAAAGGCACGCATTGGGTGTGTTATAAAAAAATCGGGAAATCAGTTTTTTATTACGACAGCTACGGCGACCTTCGTCCGCCGCCGCAACTAGTGAAGTATTTCAAAGGCTGCGTCATCGAATATAATTACGAACGTCATCAAGCATACAATACTTTTAACTGTGGACATTTATGTTTGAAATTTTTAACCGATAAGCAGCAATAGTTATAATATCATTATTATTATTATTATTAATATATATATATATAATATTATCGTCGGAAACATGCCGTCTCAGACACTGTCACTGTGCGGAAACAGCTCCGAATTGGAATGTCATTTTTTCCCACCCATAGATGTGGGTGACAAATCTGAAATCGGGCTTCTAAGTATGCAAACATATAATTCTATACCTAACGTCGAGACTGGATGCGATACTCTGCATATTATTCACGGCGAACAGTCCGAGATCACTAAGATTAAAATACCTACTGGGTGTTATGAAATAATTGTTTTAGAAACTAAAATACGTGAACTCTTAAAGGACATCGGTGTGAATTATTTTAGTTTGTCGACTAATAGCAGCACATTGAAATGTACTATGCATTGTAATAGTGATATCGATTTAAACGTCGAAGATAGCATCGCGTCGTTATTAGGCTTCGATAAGCGTATTTTGGTACGCAATCATAGACACGAGTCCGATCGCGTGGTGAAAATTATGAACGTTAATACGATAAAAGTCGAATGTAACTTGGCTCTAGGCTCATTCAACAACGGACGGCAATCGCATACGATACATGAATTTTATCCGATCGTGCCACCCGGTTATAAAATAGTTGAAATACCTAAATATAGTGTGCTGTATAAACTGAAAACAAGCACGATTGATTTCGTACGAGTTTCATTGACCGACCAAGACGGAAAGTTGATTAATTTCCGCGGCGAAGCTGTAAACATCAAACTGCTTATAAAAAATGGGTTTGAAATTTAATGACGGTAAATATGCTGCGAACAATAGTGAGGTACGCATTAAACCTGCGACCGTTGACATGCACGCACTACAACACGTCTCAGCTGTTCGTAAAAAAGTTAATCGTAATAATAAAAAAAAAAACAAAACGCTGACGCTCGATAATCGTAATTTTTTACGTTCGATCGCAAACAAGTAGTATTTTTTATTTGTTACATTATATTATACAGCATATAAACACTATGGATAAATCGTTCTTAGACGTGGGTGGTGCGTATGTAAACGAATCACCTATTCGGCAAATGTTCGTACATTCTTTCCTACCATTTTCCACGAGTGCGCTGGATAATGGGGACGAAATCCGTATCGCAATTCAAAACCGGGACGCGCATACGCTACCAAGCGAAAGTTATATCTATATCGAGGGTAAAATAACGCAGCCCGATGGAATGAAGACAGTAATAAGCTTAGCCCACAACGGGTTAACGAATTTATTCAACGAGATGAAATACGAGATAAACTCTATCGAAGTACAACGGGTTAAAAAACCCGGTATAACCAGTGCGATGAAGGGCTATTGTTCGTATTCACCTGCCGACGCGAATATCATGCAAAACGCTGCTTGGGATATCACTAGCAGAAATGCTAATTTCGTCAAAGACGGTTCGTTCAGCGGATGTATACCGTTAAAGCATGTTTTTGGTTTTTGTGAGGACTACAAGCGAATACTGGTGAATTGTAGCCAACAGTTGATTTTGAATAGATCAATGTCAGATTTGAGTTCGTTACATTTCACTGCCGTTGCGGGGGAGGATATTTCGAGCACGTCATTTCAGGCTATGGTGAAAAAAGTCAAAGTACAGCTGACGCGAGTGTCGTGGAAAATACCTGTCATTAAAGTCGATGACCGGGAGAGATTGAAACTGTTGAAAATCGTTGATAGCAAAAAAATGCTGAATTGTGCCTTTCGGAACTGGGAACTTTGTGTGTACCCCAACTTGCCGCAGACGAGCAAACACTCTTGGATGGTGAAAACATGCTCACAGGTTGAGAGACCTAGGTGTTTAATAATAGCTTTTCTCACGAATGCACCCGGTACCGTGTCAGACGGTTATAACGTTGATTACGATGCGTGCTCGTTGACAAACGTTAAAGCATATATAAACTCAGTGGAATATCCGTATGAAGATTTCAACGAAAGTTTCGATAAAAATCTGTTCACCATGTTCTACCAGAATTACGTCGATTTTCAGAAACATTATTATGAGCGATTTAACGCCCAGCCGTGTCTCACGCGGGAACAGTATAAAGAGTTGGGCCCATTTATCTGCATAGATTGTTCGCGTCAAAACGATGACGCCAAGACTTCAAGTATCGATTTACGAATCGAGATAGAGGCTGCTAATAATTTCCCAGCCAATACGGCTGCCTACTGTCTAGTCATACACGATCGCATTGTTCAATATAATCCATTTACGGGCGAAGTGAGAAAAATATAATTCATGTACCTATATATATATGTATATAATATTGTATTTATGTTTTATCCATAAAATGTTTACTATTATTTTATGATTAAATTACAGTAATAATAATTATAATATATAATATGTATCGTACGATATCTGATATCCGTATTAATAATGCTTGTGGAATAAATACTAATAATAATAATAAATATAACGCGTTTTGTTTTTTCTATATATAATCATAATATATTATACAGTGATTTTGACAGTGTATGTATATAGTAATAGATATAAGAAATCTTATTTCACAATAATACAAGTAACGCGCAATGATATGAATGCGACGCTGTGTAACAATATAACAACGTATACATATATATATAGTATATTATATTATGCCTAGTCGACTATTTTTCCTATATCCCTGGCCGGTGGTTGAATGAACCGCGTGGAATTCGGTGGACAGCGGCACATCAATAGTTTGTATAAGAAAACATCGCTGACCCGTCAATTTCTTCGAGTCTGATCGGCTGTAAAAAATAACGTACGGTATATTATAATTTATAATATAGTATAATATAATATAATAATATATTACCCATTCGATGACGTCAGCGGTGGCTGCGGCGGCGGTGACATCGTCGTTGATCGGATAGCCGCCAGCTGTACCGTCTTCGCGCATTTTCTTGTGCCAACACTCGGCGAGTTGTTTGTGCGCAAACAATTTGATCTGGTTCGCGAAACTGTATTCATTTTTCGGGACGATATTGAGTGTCGATAAATCGCTGTGGATATTGCATATGATCGCTGTAATTTCTTCGACTGACAAAGATTTTTCCGCCGGTATATTTGCGTATAAATATGCGGCCATAAGATCAGTTTGTCCCATCACCATGTGACGTATAATGTTAGATTTTTGGGCGATAACCTCGTTGATAATCCACCGCATGTCTTGGAGCTTTAATAGATTTCGTCTGCTCAATAATACACGACGTCCTTTCTGGCGGTGGGATTCGATTACCAGCATGTTATTGCCGCGATAACTAATTTTGCACAGTGTAATCGTCTCGTCCCGGAGTAACAGTTTCTCGAGGCTTTTAACCGGCGGATCGGTTATAATCGATAGAATATGCCCCATCAACGAGTAAAGGCGTCGCAGAAAATCAGCTGTTATACATACGAACCGCGACGGCGTGATTATCCTGATGGATACGTCGAAATCTCTAGACGGGTCGAGCCCTATGCTGATAGACTTGCGACCGATAAAGTCTATGACGAAATCGGTGGTATCGATTAACTCGGCGAGCGACATATCCCCGTCTAGTCGCAGTTGAACGTCACGTTCCGTCATTATTATTATTATTTATTATATCAAATTTAACTTTTAAAAACAATATATTGAAACACACTTGGTGGGCGACGAACAGCTGCACCGGGAATGATCTACTATTATCGCATATATTTGCAGTGCGTATGACGTGTGCATGCGAATTAAAATTAACAATTATCTTAGTTGATAGATCGTCCACGATAAGCGCGTATATGCCGCGAATTATATGGGGAGTCGCGATTCTTTCATAATATATTATATCGGAGTGTGTGGGTGGGAAAGTCGGAGGAGGAAGGGGAAAACAGCCAGGTAGTATGTATATTGTATATGAATGATACTACTATGTATATATATATAGGTATATACTATAGTATGTACATATTATGTAGGTACATAGTATATAGGTAAGTATATATATAAGTGTGTAGGTACTAGTATGTACTAGTATGTATATAGTATGTACATAGTATGTACATAGTATGTACTAGTATGTATATAGTATGTACATAGTATGTACATAGTATGTACTAGTATGTATATAGTATGTACATAGTATATAATTAGGTATACATGGGTATACACTATATATATAGGTATATACTATAGTATGTACAGAGTATATACTCGGGTATATATAGGTATATACTATAGTATGTATAGAGTATGTACAAAGTATGTACATAGTATATACTTTAGTATGTATATATAGTATATACTTTAATATATATAGGTATATACTTTAGTATATATAGGTATATACTATAGTATGTACAGAGTATATACTCGGGTATATATACGTATATACTATATCATGTATGGAGTATATACTATATATATATATACATATAATTAGGCGCTCGCGGGGGCCCGCGATGACGTAGGAGGCGCGGGACGACGTAGTCCCCGGTGTGGGAGGGGGTGGGGAGAGGAGCTCGGGAAGCGCACGACGACGCAGGAGGTGCAGGCTGGGGGAGTGGGGGGAAGGAGTCGCGGGATGACGCGGGGAGTCGCGGTGTCGGCGGGGGGAGTGGGGGAGGGAGTCGCGGGATGACGTGGGGAAGCATGATGACTGGTGAGCGGAGTGGGGGAGGGGAAAGAAGCAAGATGACGTAGGGAAGCATGATGACGTAGGCAGGTGAGGGGAGTGGGGAAAGGAAGAAGCATGATGACGTAGGGAAGGGCAAGGAGGGGCCGGGAGTCGCAGTGTGGGCGGGGGGAGTGGGGGAGGGAGTCGCATGATGACGTAGGGAGTCGCAGTGTAGGCGGGGGGAGAGGGGGAGGGAGTCGCATGATGACGTAGGGAGTCGCAGTGTAGGCGGGGGGAGAGGGGGAGGGAGTCGCAGGATGACGTAGGGAGTCGCAGGGAGTCGCAGTGAAGGCGGGGGGAGTGGGGGAGGGAGTCGCAGGGAGTCGCAGTGTAGGCGGGGGGAGTGGGGTGGGAAGCACAGTATAGGCGGGGGGAGTGGGGGAGGGGGTGGCGCGCATGGCGGCAGGGCGGGAGGGGGGTGAAGCGCGGGGGAGCCAGAACCGGCTATTTCATACTACTAATGCTTATAAAAAAATTGTGACAAAGGATTTTTAATATTTTTCAAATATCATTGTGACAATATATAGGAGCCTTGTATTAAATTTTTAAGCTTTTTTACCCAACAATTAAAATGTTATTGACATTCATAGAAAAAAAAACTAAACAAATTGGAAACTGAAAATAGGTATCCGTAAACAGTTCATAACAAATCAAAATATTTTGAAAATGCCATGTATAGAAAATGCTAATATAAACAACCAGTGAACATTTCATGTATATTTATATCATTTATTATGACTTATATTATAATATTTTATTGTATAGACGGTCACTTGTTCGTGTAAAAGGATGTCGATGCGATGTCTATTGATTTTAAGATCACTTCCGACTTCCGATCGGTTTCCGACGGGGTCACCTCGATCGAATAGAAACCCGGGTACACCTGCTTCCGTCAAGGAAACCGGCGTTTACATGAAACGCGTCCGCCGTACCAGCTCCGTGGTTGGTTAATAACTCTTGAATTTCATTTATGTTGGCCTTGGAAGCCAATAGAGCTCGCGTCAGACAAACCTGAGCTGAAAAGTAAGTATGAGTATATGACTTAATTTTGGTAAGCACAGCATGAATGTAAGAACGTTATTAAAAATTAATAATATACATTTAAAATGCAATAATAGATACGTAAAAAATTTAAAAATCACTAATATCAAATATTGTGGACTTCCAAAGAAAATTACAAAAATATAATATTCAAACATATAAGAATAGGTTAGTTTGCGATTAAATTATAAATTAATACATTTAAGTTTCCACAAAATAAAAATGTATTCTACTTTTGTAGTTGAACGAATATTAATTTTTGACACAAGTCCAACCGATGATAAGCCACTTTAAAATTACCAAAACAAATTTTCCCAATATTCATCAACTCAATGAATGGCCTGGCATATCATTGCAGAACTTGACTTTTATGTTGCGTACTGATAAGTAATAGATATTTTGATAATTTATTAATGAAGTGTTCAAATCATTTGTTTCAATCAATTACCAAAGCTCCAAACTAAAATATCAATGAATGCTTAAAATAAAAACAGCAAGCCTGGGCATAAACGCGTTAAAAAGTTAAAAGTTAAGTTAATTTTAACTTTTAACTTAACTTTTTGAAATTTAATTTTCATTAACTTAATTTTTAACTTAACTTATTTTAATTGATATAAACTTAATAAATAACGAGTTACTTTCAATCAAATTCAAGTTAAGTTAATTTATAAATAATTAAATAATAAAAATATAATAAAAAAAAATTATTATTGATATTACACAACCATTTATTAGAATAGGAAATTACAAATATAGTTAAATTAATTTCTCGTTCCGTTGACCAGAATTCTTCAAGAAAAATAACTCGATTAAATACATATAGATATAGCAATATGCAATAGCCAATAGCCAATTATATTATAACATATATAGAGGTGTATCGTATATATAAAGATATACCGTACCATACAGCGGCATACGGGCATATTGTAATAATAATAATTAATAATAACTAATAAGTAATAAGTAATATGATGAACCTATTATCTTATTATTTTGATATAGATACAAATCAAAAATGTACAATTCTGAAGAACATAATGTGAAATATTTTCGGCATAAATAGGTTATTTTTAAATTAAAACTAATTGGGTTGTGCCCATGTACATTTATATTTCAAATGTTTATATTTATAAACCGTCAATATTGCCAGTAGACAAAATATTCATAGCCCACATGGGTTCACTTTTCGTTCTCGGCTCTATCAGCACGCAACACACGATTTCGGATTTACAATACCGCGGTTTCAGTGATTTGTGTGAATTGTGTACCTACTATATAATAATTATGGGTAGGTAGAATTATTCTATTAATTCAGTACCTACCTATGTATAGAAAAGCTATTGGCTATTTCATGTGTTCAATAATATTTATGATTTTTATTATTTTAAACCATATTACTGGGTGTTTATATAGATGCAGTAGAAATTCCATGTAACATTGTAACGGTCACCAAAGGGTCTGTAAATAATGACCGCTATTTAGAGGTGACCGTCCTACAGATGTAGGATAACACTCGATGGGACCAAAAAAATTGACCATTACATAGAGGTGACCGTTTACGGAAGTTTTACTGTATTATGAAAAAAAAAAAAATTAACTTAACTTAACTTAAGTTAATAAGTTAATTGAAAATGTTCATATAACTTTTAACTTAACTGAGTTAAAAAAAAATTAGGTTAACTGTTAACTTTAAACTTTTTAAAATGTTTTCCATTAACTTAACTTAACTCAGTTAAAAATTTTCATTAACTTGCCCAGGCTTGAAAAACAGTGATATTACGTACTAAAAATTCAACGCAAAATACTTCTAAACGTAATATTTTTGTTCATGAACACAGTAATGCACCTATATTGCCTATATGTTACGCCGTGACACAGATTTTAATATTTTTAAAAGAAACCTGGCAGTGATTACCATTTGCGAACACTTATTTTACATTAATAGCATATTTTAGTTATTATAGCGCATTTCTTGTTGGAACGCATTTAAAATGATGTGGCCAGGACAGTTAATATGAGTACACATCATTAATAATATCAATGGGTAAGACACCAAAATGTGCTTGCCTATTTTCTAGAAATCGTTTTTTGAGTCCATCGGGTAATGTAAGCCAATATTTCAAATTTGTATACATTTATATTATGATATAAAATATTTCGTTAGTTATTAATAATCAGACAAAATAGCAAATTCCATATGTAATGTAGAATGATAGATGTAACACATTCGATATGTCACAACCATTTTCAAACAACCGTTCTACGACACTCTTCAAACGTTTTACAGTCCTCAACTCAGTTTCAAAATATACACAGTAAAATACGAGCAACAAGCTTACGAGCGCATCGCATATACCAAACTTTCCGTACGACCGATACTTATCAATTCTAGAGGAGATCCTATATACGAAATCGGAAATGTTATACTATACGAATGGTTGATACTCAAAGAGATATAAAAAGAAAGAAATTGTATACAAATTTTTTAGTGTAATAATTAATGAAAATTGTAAAATTTGGTGTTCATGACACACAACTCTCAATGTCTTAACCATCGCCCATCTGTATATCGTGCCATTGATGATATCAGATATATATATAATATATTATACTTATATTTGATCAATGATCGTTCATTAACTTGGAATCAGCGTTAATGAAGTTTAACTCACGTATTTTATTTCTGCGGAGTTTTTTCGCGAAAATCGTATTGATCGAAAACACCAAACCATGGTAGTTGTGACCGCTCGCGTATCCAGACAGCGAACCGGCGTAAGTCATTGCTTCCCATTTCTCTTCTCTTATCGGAAATATTCCACCACCTTCTTCACCATTCGGCTTGATGTGAGCGCTAACGATGTAAAAATGATTTATCGTCGTATTCAAGGCGTCTTCGTTGTGTCCGATAAACTGAAACGACCACAACGGTAAAAATATATCATAAAAATGTTTTCAACGTACAAAATACGTCGAATACCAAGCGTTCAGTTTTGTATGCATATTATTCACACATTTTTTTTTTTGTAAAAGTATTTTACTGTAAAATATTAAATTCTAACGTTTGGAAAGGAAAGAAGAAAAACCCAAAAATATAAATTATGACAAAAACTATTAAACATTAAGATTTGTTTGTGCATAGGTAGTACCTACGTCTTATACTTCAAACAATATAACAACTTATATTAAATTAATATTTTTAATATTTAAGCATTTTTTTTTAAATCGAAAAAATTAGGTTGAACATTAGTTCAACATATTGCCAAGGTCTGTGTTCAACAAATGGAGGTGCGTACAGCAATATTTGCCTATCCTCACCTGTCCCTTGCACGGTATGTTCACCATTAATGTAGAACAACCGGCACTCGTATCAGCACCAGTATCCCGGACGTTTGACACTAGTATATCGTCCAAATGGATGAGAAAAAGCTAAACATATATTACTCATTATGAAACGCAACGTTGTAATATTCAAGTATTTCTTTTATTTTTTATTTTTTTTTGTAAAACACCTCGAGTTTTCGACTCATTTTTTACGCACCTTATGGAACGGAACGTCAGCGCCGGTGGCCATTCCTTTGAGCTCGACCAAGTATTGAGGAAAATACTTATCCGTCGTTTCTAGACATTCGTTGTACACTTGTCTCCCATCCGCGGACGTTTCATAAATTTTCAAATACTCTTTCAAAGGCTCATATGTGTCCACAAAATCTCTTATAACTTTTCCGAACGTCTGCCCCTGCATGTACATAAAAAAAAGATATAGTACGACACATAATACCGTAATCACATCATCGTCATCATCATCAGTGTCCTCGCCTAACCATGTCGTAGATCCGTATATAGGCTAGGGTTATCATATATTTTATAAAAAAAAAAATTACCAGCCAAACAATTTCGGCTAAACTCTAAGAAAAAAATACCTCCAAAAATAATTTAACAATTTTTAAAACATATTTTTGAGATAACGTTCACATATAATCTGTGGGCTTATAATTACTCATATAATCTTATGGTTATTGCTGACAGTTATTCGGTGGCACTCGAAATCATCGTTATCCAAAAATTATAATTTAAACTATTAGTTGAACTATAGTCTATAAGTATGAAACTGTAAAAATATTGTTTTGTAATTATATCATGTACACGGCTTTTATTTCTCTTACATATTATAATAATAATCGGAATTAAAACAGCATTATTTTCTAAAAATTGGACAAAAAACTCAAGGTTTGTTAGAACAAGTTAACTTATTGTTAAAAAAAACTAGACAATATCGTTATACACGGGAAATAGTTCATCCTACTATAGGTACAATGCAAATAGTATGAAAATAAAAAAATCGAATAGTACAAAATTGAACATTCATGTGTTAAATTTACTTACGACCATATATCCAACTTCATAGTGAGAACCGGTTACGTACACTATCGGTACGCAGTTCTGTCTTCTGTATACAGATTTCGGGATTCTATCTAGAAATATTATGTACCTACATTAAACAATATACATAGAACAAAAAGTTCACATATAAAACGTGAAAGTTTTTTATTCTTCGTCATTCCTCTTGATACGTTGTTTGCATACTATAAGACAGAATGGTGTGTCCACCACGAATCGAAAAACTATATAACACTGTGTGAAAGAAATAATGTAAAAAAAAATGTACCGTCCCTCAAGTCTATTTTTAGAAATTAGTAAGTATATCTCCATAGTATAGGTAATTACTAGGACCTATAATTTGATATACCTACTAGAAAACCTTGAAAATGACCCTTAAAAATCACGAAAATATGCAATCCAAAGCTTAAAATAATTTAAACATGTTTTTTTTAATTTAAACAAAAAATATATAACATCTCATGTTAATGGCGATTTTCAGTTACTTCGTTTTTAAGAAAATTTTAATCACTATGATTCTATTTTATTTTATATTGAACAAATAATAATAGTATCTGCGGATTGTAAATCATTTACGAGAAATAAAAATATAAAAACCTGTATTATAGTCCTGGTCTATAGAAAGGACGTTATGAATTAAATTAAAAAGTAATGGAATAACTATAATATTATTCAAAAACGTCATGATGTCATCATTATTCCAGACTTGATCATAGATCGTAAATAATATTCTTACACTCGAAAAATAATATTTTCATATGGCACTGACGCGCAAACAACGTCACATAAAATACACAAAAGTAAACTGTAAACGAATGCCTAACGGCTATACCTACACATTTATAAACTGTAAGTGAATATTAACTACAAATATATTTACTTAACATGGGTACCATATTTTATAATAAAATGGAGCTAAACATTTGGTATGATGAAAATATACGCACGACAAGGTATTGACAAGTCACACATATCATACCACAATATTATTATAACCAAAGTTTTTTCTTTTAGTAATGAACTAGGTTTGGAGAGAAAGAATTATGTATTGAAAATAAAATAAGGATTGTTATAAATAAAAATTTGAATTATAAATAGATTTAAACAGAGTATTGTATTAAAACATTATTATAATTTTAATTTGATATAAATTTGATTTTACAAATACATATATTGTACATACATATTTAATAACAGCCATTATGCATACATATTATTTTATTATTAATTTAAATTTAAAATATTGTTTAAATAAATATTTTTGTTCAAACACAATTAATCTAATCAATAAAAAAATTAAAAATTACACAATTATTTTAAGAAGTCAGTAATTTTCAACCGTTTTGATTTATCATTTAATAGCATATTTTGTGTAGTGAGTTTTAATGAATTAACATTTTGATTCAAGTCAATATTATTAATTAGTAATGAAAAATGAACAATATTTTCTACTGAATTATACGCTTCGTCTACTGTTAAATTATCTTTTTCTTCATCAGTTATTTCTTCTTCTTCTTCTTTTTCCTCGTTTGGTTTGGATATTGTACTCACAGTTGTCCTCGTCACTTAGTACTTACCTACTTGTAGTAGGTAGCTACCTCAGTGTCTATATCTACAAAATTTTCGAAGTTCGGGTATTCAAAATTGTTTTCTTGAATGTTTAAAGAAGTAGAAGAATTTTGTACTGTAGTGAGAAATCCCGTATGAAAAAAACAATTTTTTATCATTTCTGCTGTTATTTCGCTCCACGATTGAGTTAACAACAAAATAGCATCCAAGACTTTTAATTTGGTTTCTTTTTTGTGTTCAGTATTATCAATCATTTTGAGAACTAACAATTTTCTAAATTTTGTTTTGAGACATTTTATGAACCGTTGGCCCATTGGTTTAGATAATACTGATAGCAGTTTGGGGGTAAAAAACCAGCTTAATACAATGAAAATCATTCAACTTAGTATCCGATGGACAGTTATCTACTACGAGTAAAAACATTTCTCTCTTTCTTTTTAGTTCACTGTCCCATTTTCGTACAAACGTGAAGAACATGAAAAATCTTTACCAGTTAGTTTTGCTAAATCGTTTGCTTTCTCTTGCTGAATCGGTATATTGAAACTTCGTTGTGTCTTAAACCATTTTAATAAATCAGTATCAATATCTTCATGATCACTACCACGTATTTTTTTTATTTTTTTTTATATCTTTCGCGCTCGAATTCTCGTTTTATTTTATCTCGACATTTCCATATTGTAGATATTGTAGAATGACTTACACCAAATTCAGTCCCAATATTACTGTTTTTTTCATTATTCACCAAACTAAAAATTATATGCGCTTTTCTTTCGACAGAAAAATGTTTTCGCTTATTCATTTTAAAGTCAAACATGTTCAGCGGCAATAACATAACTAAAATATCAAAACCGATATTTGTAGATTTGTGTTAATATCTCACGATATCATGTACTATATGTGTATTATATTTCTATCTCGTTGATATCTCGTAAACGAATGAAAGCACCTAATACTCGTATATTATATTATACAATAATACTGTGTGAAGGTACCTTATCTAATATATGTAGGTAATTACACCGATGTCCGATAATATCGGTGCATCCGAATTGCATGCCAAAAAATAAATATAAATCGGGTCGTCCGAATTGCATGCCGTCTCTTGGAGGGGTCTGTCCGAATTGCATGCCGTCTCTTGGAGGGGTCTGTCCAAATTGCATGCCATCTCTTAGAGGGGTATATCCGAATACATAACTTACTTTTCAACTGGAGGATCGGGATTTTTTTACATTACAATAAAACATATAAATATTGTAGCAGGTGACACTGTGAATAAAAATCATAAAAATATAAAACTATTTTTTTTTCATCGACAACAAAGGCCATTAGTTAAATAAAACTATTGTAGTTTAGAGTAATCAAGTGAGTGTATTTTAAATAATATTATTTTTAAATTTGGTGGTTTTTTTTTGACATTTCGGGCACACAATATTACAATTTAAATAAACAAAATAATATATAATAATAAAATATTATTAATCTGTTGTGAAACAGACCGATACCACAATACACTACATTACTCCAATATAGATACTGTTTGGGAAAATATTTACACGGATATAAAAATATTTTAATCCAGAAACTAATCACTAAACAGTTGTAACAACCATACATAAAAGAGCGTTTCTATACATGCATTTTTTTTAAAAAATTAGGAAAGTTCAAAAAAAAATTTAAGTTGTTTAAGTGCATAGTAAATAAACGTGTGGTGTACCGCATGCAATCCGGACAAAGCCTTCTAAGAGATGGCACGCAATTCGGACAAACCCCTACAAGAGACGGCATGCAATTTGGACATTTTTTTTTTTTGCATGCAATTCGTATGCAGCCGATAATATTTGACGATCATTTGTGAAAATAATAATATACAGTCGGTATATACGATTAAAATGTGTGCTGCGTCCCGATTTTTAAGTGGTATTAGCCGATATTGTCGTTATACGTCCAATGTCGTTGTAACTATGCAGTTATTTTGTATGTACAAATAAACCGAATTTTGCCGGGTCCTTTATAAAATAACGCCGTTATAAAATGTCGTTACGGCCGGCGTCGTTATAGATGGTAACGACTGTATTTGTATGTCTATTACAATAAGAACCTATACATAATGAAATAATATATTCAATTGATTTTTTTTTTTTTTAAGCAACAATTTTGCATTTTGAACGATTTTATAGTTACTTATTTTGGCTACAATAATATAAACTACTTATAAGAAACATTGTTTTAAATTTTCAACTCAGGTTAAATTTATTTTTTCCAAAAAAATTACATTTTAAAATGTCATTGTGTGTATAAAATATAATAATATACCCTAAAAGTTTCATATACCCAGTGCTTGAATTGGGGGGTGCTCAGGGGGACGGAGGTATCCTACTATATTTTGTATGATCTGTGTGTAATAAATAATAATTGAGCCCTTGGAACGCAGTTTTTAAATCGATAGATTGAGCTCCTCTACCTACTTAATTTTTCAGAATTCGAACACCGCATACCTAAGAATAATATTTTTAAATTATGACAAAATAACTAAAACCGTTATTCTTGGATTTAATATGTAATTTTACCCAAATTAGAACTTAAAATGTATGTAAAAATGACTGTGATTGTATATTTTTTATAATTTTTGGTTACAGTTCTACAGTTAACTATTTATGAGAATCATTGTTTTCAATTTTCAATCCTTAGCTATAAAAATTGAACATTTCATCATTTTTAACTACAAAATAATTTTAAGATGTTCGAGATTTTAATAAATGTTGTTAAAATATAAACTTTAAATACTTATAAAATCAAGCCTATATAGATCTTTAATATTTATCAAATGCTATTAAAAATACTTATAAGGAACCTTGTATTAATTTTTCAACCTTTTTCGTCTGCAACGAATATAATTTTATTTCGTCATGGAATAAACTATATTTTTAAAACTTGATCATATATAGGAAATAACACATTCATTTTTTCAAAAATTGGTCTATCCTAAAAATCCCCATTTTGGTTTTTCTCAATGCTTTCGAAAACTACTAGGTATTTTTTACTTAACATCAGTACTTATAGTATCAACTAGATTCAATTTCCTACCAGAAAAAATTCTGATGTACAAAATCAAACCATTTTCATTCTGCCCTAGAAGGTAACGACAGACACAAAATAAAAACGCACACATCATTGTAAAATCAATACATTCATCACTCCACTCTGTTAGATAGGTTTATGTACTTATGACAAAAATAACGAATTTCAACATCAAACATGAGATATGAACACAAATCATTTGAGTTATCTATACATCATTATATTTTATAGTATTGGAGAGGACCTATTTTATGCAGTTGTTTAAATATTTATTGATTCAAACATTTCAAACTTGACATCTTCGTTAGCGTCTGTATAATCCCCCGCACATAAAATATATTTTGAATACAAATTAAAATCTTTTTGATTTGTATGCCACCACCCAATAAAAATTATATTTAACGAGACGATTTATAAAAATTATTATTATTTTATATTAACGGTAAAAGCAGTAGGTACACTCAATAACGTCATGGATTATCATATTTTAATTGGAATTTTAACTACTATAAATAGTATATTATAAATTAGGTAATTAATCAATGTAGGCATTATATGGTCAATAAAATTTCAATATAATGTAAGAAAACCAAAAAAAATAATGGATGGTATTCAAATTTTGAAATCCTCGTTTCAAGCATCGATCTCATAAAACGTTCTAGGACTTCTCATTTCTCAACAAATAAAATTAAACTATAATCGAGATTTTTATTGATTACAATAGTATGCAGTGTAAATCTACCTCACATTGTAATAATAAATTCCTAGGCAGTAGGCTCCTAGATATTATAGGTACACGATAAACGATACAACTGCTTCTAAAGTATACAAGGATAAACCAAGTCCCAAAAGAGCATTTATGTTAGGATCAGTTATCACCCAGTCGCACTTAATCCATAAATGTTAGAAATTTGTGTTTATATATTTTTTGGTAATAATACAAACTACATATGAGAAACCTTGCACTACATTTCCAATTCTTAGATATTAAAATTAAACATTTTATATATTTTTAGCTAAAAAATCATTTATTCATTTTCTTGATTTTGACGAATTATATCAAACGATTATAAAAAAAAAAATCGTTCCCTTGCCACTTGACCATATTTTTATTGTTATACCTAATAACAACATATACCTATTAGAACTACGAATTAATTCTTGAGAAACTTACGAAAAAATGTATTGAAAATTATAGACAAAAAATTTAAAAAATAATACCTAGCTCTAAACGAGTCAAAATATTTTTAAAATGTCATGCATCAGTTATTTGTTTATATAGTTACACCAAAAACCTGATCAATTTTGTCAAATCTGGTTTTGGGTAAAAATGTCCATTTTTTCTTAATTTTGTTTTTTTTTTCGCCACTTTTGAAAACTACTGTGGATTTTTTATATTTGACCCCTAAAGAACTAACTAAATTCACTTTCCTACTAGAAAATATATTGAAGTATAGGATATTATAGCATTTTTACTTCCCCAAAAAGTGATGAGTGGTGACAGACGCAAAAAAACCATAACAACACATCATTGTAAAATCTAATATCCCATCAAAATTTAAAAATCTAATAAAACCTAATAAATATTTTTAAAAAAATTGATGTATAGTGGAACTCGTGCTGTGGAATATATAACATACACTACTACTTATTACGCAACAATGATATTATAAAATAAATACTTTGCATAATATATTAGGTACATAATTGAGTTGTTATAGTATAGACTTTAGGTACCTACTAATGTACTACCTATAATAATGTTATAATTGTATATACATGGGTGCTTGAACTTTATAGAAATCATATTATTTACACTAAACACTAATGTCGTAAAAATTGAATCAACGCCAACTGATTAATGTTGTACGATTATCTAAAACTATGTCTCAATTTTTAAATCATGTCTAAAATCATTTCTCATATTAAAATAATTATAATCTCTACTGATTAAAATCGTTCTCGTTCGTCGTTCATGTTCTTTTTTGTAAGGAACCATTCATGTTCTCGTATTTACTATTTACAAAAATGAACATGTTGATCTAGTCGACAATTTGAATTATTTAAATAAAACCTTGAGTTACGTAGGTAGGTATAAATAACATTTTTAAATGTAGTTTTTTTATCAATATAAAAATGTATTTTAAGTAGGTAATAACAACATTCAATTTATATTATGTTAATTATTTATAATAAAATTAATTATAAAATAATAGTACTTTAACATTTGCCCAATAACAAAATGTATTAAAATTAAAACCATGAAATATTATACAAAATATATTTTTTTAAAGTAGCTCTGCTGTACAGTAGGTTACAAATGGGTCACTGTAATGGATGGTGTTAAATTTGAATTAATCTTTATTTGTTGATTAAAAATACTTGAAAATGTAATACAATGCTCCTACTACATTGTTAGTAAAAAAAAATCCTTAGTAACAGTTTTTTTTTATAATCATTTAAAGTTGAGAAATTGACAAAATATGGAAAAATCACGAAAATTAACAAATTATTTTGAGTTAAGAATTTGTAAAAATTTTTATTCTTACAAGATTCCTTATAAGATGATAACCTTTATCAAAAAAAAATGTCCATAAGAAAGTCAAATTAATTTTATGAGCTTTTGAAATTCAAATTTTTACAACATTCGATATTCACTCGATTTCTCATGTAGCAATTTTCTTATTTTGAAAAATTCAAATTTGATGAAAATTTAAATTTTTCGATACCTGCAACATGCGTCCAACATCTAACAATATTATGTTATTATAGTATTGATTATACTTATGAAGATAACATTTTATACAATACATTTTTAACTATAACTTGGCCTCACAAATAAAACTTTCATGATATTCATAGAAAATAAACTAAAAAATTGAGATTGAAATTATCCGTAAACAGCTCAAAATAAGTCAAAATGTTATGATGTATAGAAAATTTTAATATTAACATTCAATCAAAATTTTATGTAGGTATCTACGGTAATTTGTTTTAGAGTTAACCAAAACCCAAAAACGATTTTGTAGAAAACCAATTTTGCGTAGAAATTCCCGTTTTTTTCTTGTTTTTCAGTGCTTTTGGAAACTATTATGAATTTTTTACTTTTGACCCCTCCCCAAAGTACAGAAAAGATAGGTACTGCTGAAGAAAATTTAAGCATTTTTACTGTCCCAAAAGGTTGCAAAAACAGATGCAAAAAAAAATTTTTAAATTAAATATAAAAAATTAAAATAAGACATCATTATAAAATCAATACATTCATCGCTCCGCTAAGAATCTAAAATATTAACCCAGATGAAAACACGTATGGTTTACATTTCGAATGGAGGCCTGTGTAGCATAAATTATTTGATCTATTTTTCTAAGTAAAATTAATTCAAATAAAGTGATAAAAATTGTTTTGCTTTTCAAAATTGTACTTGGTATGCACTGTGTAGACTGCAGAGACATTATTTGAAGAGCCAAAATAAAAATGTTTAGTCTCTTGAGATGGGAAACCATGTGTCTTTATTATTTTCTGGGTTTTTTTTTGTTACCAAGGAGTTGTAAGCCCACCCTTTGGCTGTTGGTGCTATGCAACTTTGCAAGACAAAAGTTTGAAATAGGGGGCCCCAAAATTTAACTCGCACCTGGCCCCTTTTATCTCTAGTTGCGGCACCACTATAACGTACCTAGATAATTTATTAATATAGTGAAAAATCCTTTCAAAATATCTAATAGTTATATAGTACCTAATTGTAATTTCTGTGGTTTAACCTTTTGATACATTTCCTTACTTACTTTAATAACCAATTTCTAATTAAAATATGCTTTACTAATGTACCAACTATATGTCTGATGAAACATTAATTCAATAATGTTGGCAACTCATGTGTAATTTTTTTTATACCTACCTATCTAAGAATTTAGTTTGTTTCCGGGTCTCTACTCTCTAATACTCCATTTAACTATTTTACTTTCAATTTTAGTTATGATTTTTTGATCACTTTATAGCACTTATAGCACCTTATACTAAAATATTTTTAAAGTACAATAATAATTTATTACAATAGTATCACACAATCAGATGTATAATAACCCTGAAACACCCCCACTGTATATTCGACTATAAAAAAGGCAAATACAATGCTTAAGGTGTATGAACAACAATGGATTGAAAGTACTGCTCTTTTTCATATACACTCCTTTGAATGAATCACAGTAAATGCTGATTTTTCTTTTAAATTATACAATACTTTACAAGTTATATAAAAAAAGGCAACTGAGTAAAATAAACTTACAAATAACATGGTATTCATTAAATTTACTAATTGATTAATTTAAAATAATAAAATATATACAATTACAGCAGGACAATTCATTAGGGATAATGGATAAAACAAATTTAAAACAAGTGATATGCTATTTTAAGTTTATTAAAAAATATTCAAGGTATATTAACAATATTGCTCATTATAGTACCACACGACAAACATAACAAGAACAACTTACTGATCCTATTAAAAAACAAAAAAATCATATTATATTTTTATATTAATTAAAAAATATTTTTACCTGTGGATATGGTAAGATTATGCCTTGTATGTATCCATCATTGTGGTGTCCAGCTCTTCTCAAAAATCCTGTGAGGTCCTCATCTTGGTTGAGTTGTTGCACATGGCCTGCTAAGACAGTGATAGTGTTCCCTCGTTCCCTTCTTGATGCTCCATCTCTAATCTGAAATGTAATTAAGCTTAAAAAAAATCCTTATGTTATAACTTATAACATAAAATTGTGTGACATAAACGTAGCAGGCTACTAGATATTTTCCACCACTTGGAAGACAATTTATGAAGCATAAAAATGTACCTATTAATAAGTAAATACATTTTGTTGGTTTCTATCAAGATAACCAAAGCTTTAGAAAAATAAAATATCTGTAAAAAGCAAAAAAACAAATTTATGTATCTAAAAAAAACAAAAATAATCAACCTGAGGTTTCTTCTGGCTTGGTCAAATTCAACGAAATACTGGTCTTCAAGGACAGTCAGTTTTTCTGTAGGACAAGTAATTGATCAGTAAGAAATAAAATATAAATGATTGTAGTATTTGATATATATGTTAGAGCAAGACAGTTACATACATACAGTAAAAATTAAACTTAGTGCTTATACCATACCTGGGTAAATTGGAACCAAGAGCATCCTAATTGGCTTTCTGGAAATGATCATTGAACGGCTGACATCAGAGCTTTTTCATAATTTGTAATAAAACAAACACATTGATAATTTAAAGGTAAAATATTTCGTACAATATCAAACAGAGCAGCATAAACTTCTTCAGTCATACTCCTCAGAAGAGCATAGACCATTGGAAAGGACTAGAAATAAATAAAATAATTTGTGAGAAATATATTAAGATAAAATAATTTAGACTATACATAAATAACATCAATTTTTCAACACTTACAACACTTTTAAAAACAACTTGGATAATAAGGAAACATTTCAAATCTGCTGGAACACGAGGCACAGTCTTGAACATCCCATCAATCCCAACCAATGTCACTGTGGCCAATTCTTCTCTGTTTGTCAATTGCATCCATGTTCGCAAAGATTCAACAACACTCCTTCCATTGACGACTAACGCTTGTTGAAAGAACCTAGTAATAATTTTTAAAATAAAATGTATAATAATTTGGAACATTTTACCTAAAAATGATTCAATACAACACATTATTCAATTTGTAATAATTACAAATTGAATACAATTTATTATTGTATGGTTTTAGGAAAAGTATTCACAACTACAAACACCATGGTACCTATAATTTTTACTGAATAATAATTAATTATGCAATTTGCACTGTCAGTAACTAAAAAAACAATTTTCCTATTTCAATGTTAAAATGAACATAACAAACAATTTGGTTACTACATTTAATATTGATATTAATATTAAAATAGTAAATAATTCTCATTTCACAGTAAAGTAACATTTACCTACTACCTATGAGAAATCATGTGTAAATCAAGCAAATTATACTTAAGTTACTACACTAATGTACTGACATGTGAGAATTATGTCAAATGTACATTCATTTATAATTGTTATTAATATTCAATTATTTTATAAACGGACAATATCCTTTTATAGCAATATTTTACTATTTGATAATATGAGATTAAATACAATTCGTACAAGAAAAATAAAAACACAAATAAATGTGTCCATAAAATATTCTAATACAATCATAAATATCTACCCAGAGTAGATAAATTACTATATGTAAGTACCTAATATGTACATTTTTTATCGGTACTTATTATTTAAAACTGAATAAATTAATATAAGATTTACTTATATTATTACCATATTTGACTAATTATATAATAGCAAGCTTATTAGTTATAACTTATAAACTTAGAACAAACAACTATATTTACCTAGATGGGGGATTTTGAACTGTAGAAGCGTACATGGCATTAAGTGCTTCATTCAGTGCAACTGCAAGTCGCCCAATGTCAAGGGGTTGTCCTGGAAATATTCGACGTCTCATCTTTTTCACTCGTTCTTGGGCCTGAATAAATGTGTGGTTGGGAGCTGCTTCTGGATGGCTAACAAAATCAAAACAATTAGTTAATAATTGACTTAGAATATATTATTTAGCATTGTTCATTATTTATAGGGATAACTACCACCAACAAGTAACAAATAATAGTTTAGAATACACAGATAAGTTTGAAAACGACTCACTTGATAATTTCATTACTGTACAAAGTTCTCATAAATGACGTAACTGCTGGATCAATTCCCCTTTCACCAATGGTTTCTCTCAAAAATGGCACATTCAGGTCAATCACTCCGGGCTGGTAATGCTGGTAGTACCCTAGATGAATTCTATTGTCATTCAAATTTGTACTAACAGTTGCAGTGGAAGGACAGTACTGGTTCCGTTTCTTCTGCCGTTCGCATACTAAATACCTATAAAATATAAATACATAATATGATTATCATTCCTCTGTACTCAAATAGGTAGGTAATTATTTTGGATCTATTATACATACACGCGGTGTCCTCGGACTTGTCGTTTGTAATACTTAAATCCCAAGTTGTCCATATATATCCTAGATCTGTTATGAACTCCATAAATCAAAGTATATGTTTCCGACACTCCAACAATTTGTTCCTCTTCTTCTCCTTCTTCCAATACCTCAACTTCTTTGACCACTTCTTCTTCATGCACTATATGATCAACATCATATTATACAACTTGCAGGAAGTAGTCGTGGTCCACCAAATTATCTGAGAGAGCAATTATTTCCTTGTTGTTCATCATTATTAATATAGAACTAGAATGAGTGCACAAAAAAAAGGAGTAGTTATATTTATAGTAATTAGTTACCTATTGCAAAGATAATTGGATGGACCGCCAAAAGTAGGGAGGAAAAATAAGACGAAAAAAATCAAACAAAAAAACCAAATGTATTGAACAAGTAACAACCAAACACACTAACAAAGTTCGTCAAAATTTTAAATTTAGGTGGTGTGACCTATGGTCAAAGTTTTAGAAAGACGTGCGACAGCACGAACAGAGTCGGCGGTATGAACTATGGTCAAAGTCTTAAACAACGACAATAATAGGCGTAAACGGCAAAAAATAGTAAACAGGGCACAGTTCACAAAAAAGCGAAAATCTCACAAGACGACAAGAGTTGTGCTAGGCCCAAAGGCTGAAAACTGAAAAGTGAAAACTGAAAATCGAGTTGTCGTTCGTTACTCCGTAGTCCGTACTCGTTGTCATGACAAATAAAATTAATTTGTCAATAATTGTCATTTGTCATGCTCGTTGTCTCGTTCATCGTTCACCGTTGGTCGTTCGTAATTCGTAGCTCATACATCGTGAATCGTGATGGTGGGAGATGACTGGGTGTTGGGAAACTGGAAAAAACGTCTCGCAAAAACCGTTACAAAACACAACAATAAAATGTAAAAACGCGGGAATTTTTAAATACATAGTCTAGAAATTCGCTAGGCTAAACCGGTTTAAATTTCCCCTTAAAATGTAAAGCGGTTTGGTTTTAAGAAATTCGCTGAACCAAACCGATTTAAAATAAAGGCGGGTTCACACTACACCGTGTCGTGTAATATAATCACGGTTACCTCAGTTACCAAACGATACCGCATAGTTGAATATATTCAACTTTTGACCGTGTGGTTACATTAAGTATGAACCCGGCTTTATCTGCACATAAATGTAACCACACGGTCAAAAGTTGAATATATTCAACTATGCGGTATCGTTTGGTAACTGTGGTAACCGTGATTATTTTACACGACACGGTGTAGTGTGAACCCGCCTTAACGCACCGGTTTACTTTTTCTTAGACCACCACAACTAGGTGGTTTAAAAACACCGGTCCTGATTCGTCCCCTCCTAATTTTAATAATTCCCCTTAATTTATTATATTATCACAGCTGTCTGGCTATCACTTATTAATTTATATTTTTATCATATTATAAAATTTATAATACCGAAATCCCGTTTGTGACCTAAATAGAATTATTGTTTTTGTATAATATATTATATAATAATATATAGTTTTTGAATAGGGATGTACTAGCATTGTATGTATGTTTGTATATTTAAACAAAGGTACTAGGTGCATACATAGGTATTTAAAATTTATATTATTTTCATAACACTAAATATGGCAAGTGTTTGGAATTGGAAGACAACTGAAATTGATGATGAAGACCAAAATATCATGGATCACTATATACAAGGTAGGTAATGTCTTAAGTCTTAACTGAAACTAATAATGGGTATAGCAATTATAATTTATAACCATAATATTATAAAGTGAACTCTTCTTGTTATGATGTGCAAACTTAAAGAGACGGTTAAGAATTCTTTAGGTTTAGTAGTATAGCGGGGTAAGCAAATCAATGAGGCAAGTGTAATAAAATATACCTACTTAAAGGTCATTGAAAGCTAGTAGACATTGTATAAAATATTGTTTGGAACTAGGTAGTTATTTTAAATGGAAATTTTGAAAAACCTATTTAAAAACAGTCTTGATTTGAAAATTCTCAGTATAGGTATTTTACTATTTTTTGTATTATGGTTAAGAAGTTTAAAAACTTGCCCCATTATGCTTTATGTATAGCTCAATAGTGGAATATAGAAATATATGCCCATGACTCACGTTTCCCTGTGAATAGACAGTGAGCCACTTGGATTTAAAAAAAAAATAAATATTTTTCATTAGAGCAATTTTTAACTAGATTTTTTTATTACCAGAAATATGAATATTTACCTCATAACATAATATATGATAATAGGTTAAATCTTCTTAACGTAAAATGTGAGTCTAAAAAAGGAAATAAAGTTGAATTTTGTTTTTAGTGTTTCACTTATCCCTACTAACTCTGATTTCGGTGCATTCAGAGATATTTTGTATGTGTTATTAAAATATATAACATGCCAAGAACTCTCATTTTTGATTTTAGTATTGGAGAACGATGGTACTGCTGAATTTGGTATAGGTGATGCTGGTTCACAACATAATGAAACCACAGATTCAAGTAAAAATAATTAAATACTGTAGGTATTTACAATTTATGTTTCAACTTGATATAAATGTGTTTTCTTTTAGATTCATGGTCAGCAACTGCTACCAAGTTATTAATATCACTAAGAGGAGCTTGCAATGAAAAATTCGATAAGATTAAAAAAAAAGGAAAGAAATTAGAGCAGTGGGATGTGATTTCAAAAGAAATGAAAGCTAAAAATATTAATATTAGCCCTAAGCAATGCGACGAAAAATGGCGAAGATTATTGACTCGTTTTCGACAAGTGAGGGATGCATCCAAAAAGTCTGGAAGTGGTGGAATAAAATGGCAGTATTATATATTAATAGAAAATGCCATATCACCAACGGCCAGGCAAACAATTTCTCCGCCAAAAGGTAATTTTTTTATTTTACTGAATTACTTAATCATTTAAATATTATATAATAGATGAGTTATAATTTTGTTATTAATATAGTTAGATATAGTTTAAAAAATATTTTGCTTCTGTTTCTGTACATACATTCTCTATTTATAACTGACGATTAGAAAGGTATAGAAATATGTATTGAAATATGTGTAAATTGTTGATATATATATATACCTATACATGGGCGGATAGGCCAATTTTGGCCTACCGGGAAATTTTACAAAGGGGCCCCACACATGAAAAAAAAAGTCTACTTTTTAAAGTAAACTTTTAAATTTATTAACATAATACTTATTTACAACAAATATTAACTAACAGTTATTAAATAACAATAAAATGTGCCTTTCCTACAAAAAGGTATTTACTATTTAGTTGTTTTTGTCGATAAAAAAAAAAAATGGTTTTTAAAATATAAAAAAACTATTCTTTAAAATCACTGAAAAATGTGTATCAGATTAAAATTGTTTGGGCCCCTTTCATTTTGGTACTTGAAAGGGCCCCGGGGCTTTCGCCCCGGCTAGACCCCCCCTTAATCCGGCCTTGACCGCAAGTTAGTAGAAACGTTATGTCTGCAATAGTGCAATAAGTATATAATAATTTATTATAATTCTACAATTTGTTTGTGATAAGATATCGGTAAAATAGTAAATATTACATTATATTACCGCACACAAATACACGATAGCATTGAAAAAGTCCAATGTTTAGTTTAGAATATTCTAAAAATAGTATCTACAACAACCGATTTGTGAGTGATTAGTGATTACCCACCTCACCAGTTACCAGTTTCAACCGTGACCCACTCAATTCAACCATTAACCGACGTTGTAGTTGTGAGAGCGCGGCTGCGAGCCGATAAGTAATGTTTTGAAAAAGACCACAGATAGTAATGTATATGATCCATGAGGTATAACTGATATAAGATTATAATATTTTATTTGATATTTCAAATTATTTCTATTGTAGGTAATTGCATTTTATTAAAGGGCCCCATTACCGAAATACAAAGGGGGGCCCACCGGGAAATTCCCGGTTTCCCAGTAGGCCTATCCGCCCATGTACCTATATATCCTTGTATAACTATTTTATTACATTTTTTTGTGTTCACAAATTTGTAGATTTGTTACATGAATCGTCAAAAGACATCAATAGTCCCATAGAAACACCAGAGTTAGAAAATACAATACCACCTTTATCTGACTCATCATATACAGCAACACCAATTTCCTTATTCAAACAAAACCATCATGAAAAAACACCTGCTTGGTTTACTAAATTCGAAAAATTGAGAAATGATCAAATAGAAGCAACTAACAATAATGCAAATCAACTTAACATCCGGTTAGTAAAATTCAATATTATATTTTTATTTATTTAGTCATATTATGTTTTTAACAGTTGCTTTTCTTCTAAACTTCCTATCATTTAATATTTCATACAATTTATTATTCAGTAGGTTCATAATTTCCATAACATAAGTTCCATTCACTTAATATATAATAATTATTTTTCTGCAGCAAACCAAAAGTTTTTAGTGTAGTTTTTCAACAGTGATCTATTTGAACATTTAACTTCTTAGACTAAATTTAAATGCTTATCCAGACAACTCTTAATATTTAAGCCATCAAATTGAAATTTTTTTATAATATATTACTTTTGATGAAACCATACATTTTTATATTGCTTGACTGAGAGACATTAGGTGGTTCAGAACTTGGATTAATTTTGATTAATAATACATTTTTCACTTTTAGTCTTGACAAGTTGGAAAAAAGAGAGGAAATTATGTTGAAGACTCAGGCTGAACTGCTAAACAAATTGGATGATGCAAATCAAATTGAAAGGGAAAAGATAGAACTTTTCAAAAAAATGTTTGACGCCAATATATTATAATATTTTTTTCCATTTTTTTTTTTTAGTTGCTTCAATACAATATTACAAAGTCTGTATATTAGTATAGTAAAGAGGGGCCAGTTTCTATTTTTATTTTGTTATTTACATTTGATTTTATAACTATAAATTACTAGAATATTGTTATGTTGTTATTAATTAATATTAAAAGTAATAAAAGACTTATTACAATAACACTGTTTTAAAATTCATGATTTTGTTTTTAATTCATGCTTAATGTATCACAAATTAAATTTCTTTTGGTTGCGCCGCTAATAACTTCATTTCTTATTTCCTGTAAGTTAAGTTCGGTTTGAATAGGTACATCAGATACAAATGTATCATTGTTTGATATGCATATATTATGCAAGCAGCATGCAGCAGTTATCACTTTACCACAAAAATTTTTTTTGTATAAGTCCATGTGTCTAATAATTAATCAAAATAAGTAGAACATTAGAACAATTTTAATTATATATAAAAATACATTTACACACTTAATTTTTCGAAATCTGCAGATCAATTTGGAAATGCCTGCTCAATTAAAACCCGTGAGCTACTCAGTTTATGGTTAAAATTTTTTTGTTTCAAACTTAGGTTACCATTATCTTTATATGGTATCATGAGGCCCTCAGCGAGTGGATAGGCACCATCACCAAGAATATAGCAAGAATTAGGGAGGATTGATGATGGAGTATTTATAATAGTTTGACCAATTGTACTGCAACGAAAAATTCGGGCATCATGAGACCGCCCTGGCCAACCAGCAAACACATCTATAAACTTCATCTCAGCGTCAACGATTCCCTAAAATAAATGTAATATTTTGCTAAATTGAATAACTAGAAGATCTATAACATATTAATTAGTTAATATGTCTATGAGAAGATCTGTTAAAAAAATTAGACTAAAAGTACAAATTAACAATTAATACAAGCATTATAACAGTCCTGGAATACCAAATTGCAGTACAACAGATGGAACTTGTTTTCTATTGCAAAACATATTTCTATCCAACTTTGGCATTTTAGTTCGTTTTTCCCAAGAAAATAAAGTATTAATATGGCACCCATCAATACAGCCAAATACATTGGGAAATGAGTTTAATCCTCTTAGAGAATTAAATTTCTGGATGTTTTCTAATGCCGCTACTCCTGTTGGCCATACAATTATCTTACCAGCTACATCATTCATAGCCAATAAACAATTTGTTATTATATCATGACTTGTACTCTCTGCTATGTTAAAGCGATTACCAATTCATCTGAAATGCATATTAATTTTATCTAAGTAAATCCTAATGCTGACAAAATATGATTTTTATAAATTAGCATTTATCATTAAGAGGATGTCAGCGCACAGTTTGTTTACTCTCTCTGGCCCAAGAGCAACATAGTCAAAAGCATTTACGCAGAATCATTTTTTCTATGTTTTTAAGTAATCTTAAAGTAAAATCACCAATTACAAAAAAAGATAGAAAATAATATTTTTGAGGGAATGACATATCAATTAGTTTAAATATTGTCTTAAAACAATTTAAACATTATTTCAATTTTCAAAAATTTTTTGTTTACTTTAAAAGTAGAATATAAAGTCAAATAACAATGAAATATAAAAACGAAATGTCTTTCCCTCAGAAATAATATTCTGTATCTTTTTTGTAATGGGCTATTTTACTCAAAGATTATTTAAAAGCATAGAAAAAAATGATGCGTTTTGTCTCTTGCGTGTGGGCTGGGCAGAGAAAACAAATTGTGCGCTGACATCCTCTTAAAGCTGTGAATATAATTTATGAAGTATACACATAAGTATCTAGTTTAAGACTAATTACATATAAAAAGTAATTTCTATAAATTATCAATAAAAAATAAATGTTTGCTTCTCTATGTAATTTCCAACTGTATTCATTAATTTATTAGTTCCAATTTATATAATATACACATGAAAACTACTGGGAATTTATATTGACCTCACAAAGTACCAACACTAGATACACTTTTCTACCAGAAATGATGTAGTTAATTGAAGCATTATGACTTCCCCAAAACGCGATGACAAACCCACAATTAATTTTTTGAAAAAAAACCACATCATTGTAAAAATAATACAGTTTTTTCTCCATTCTGAATCTAAAATTATAATAATTATAATTGGTCTGTAAATATTTATTACATTTCACAGCCTTAATAATGAAATATTATTATTTAGTAGGAATATCCTCACCGATGTGTTTCACAATTTGCCATATACCATATAAATATTAGTATCTGTTTTTCGACATTTATTTTTATAGATTTTTGAGACAAAGCAGGACCAATAAATGTCATCACAACCTATAGAAAATATATTAAATGTATTTTAGTCTTGATTCTAGATAATATGTAAATGTAATAAGATATACCTCAATACTACTTCTGTTAACACGAAAATGAGACTTGAATTCTTTATTTGTAAAATTGGGTACCAATAACTCGGCAAAATCTTCAATTTTAATTTTAATTTTGTAGTTATTTTCATTCTCCGCATTAGTCAAAAGTATCATATCTTCTTCAAGTGATGTATCATTAAAAGTAAACTCGTTTAAATAAACTAACACATCTAATAAGCAGATATTGGCAAATAAAATATCATTAGTAAACACATTGTACATCATAGTTGTAGGTATACGCAGATTAGTTATGAAGTTATTCAAATAATAGAATATTAACATCAACACTTACTTTCACGAATAGGACATCCTTGCACTACAAAATTAGTAATGTGATTTTTACTCATAATGAAATCATTAAATAACTTTAATCTAAGATTATTTCTATCCATTTTTAACCAACTTTTTAGCTTTTTAAATAACTCAGTAGGAATTTAAAAACTCAAATGAAAATTAAACGTGATTTAATTTTATTATTATAATAATTATTTAATTTTACAAAAAGTGCGGGAAACAATTCATATTAAATATGTGATAAGAAAAAAAAATTTTAAAGTGGGGGCAAACCGATCTAAACGAGCGAATTTCTGAATAAATCGTTTCGAAACAGTTTACACACCGATTATAAACCTGGATCATTTTAATAAACCATTTAAGTGAACCGGTTTAGTCTAGCGAATTTCTATAGTGTATTTCAATACGGCGAATTCTGTATTCTGAATTGTAAATTTGAACTCATTTGACGGTTGGCTAGGTTGAGTTATCTTTTTCTTTTCTTTTTTTTCCTCCATGAAATTTCGGGACAAGTACCCCAATCCCAGTAATTTATTATAGTTTATTATATGGTCAGACTGTCGAAGCTTCTACAAATACTAGCGCTGCCTTAGTGGATACTTATAGAACTAGATTTGAGACAATTTGATCTTGATATTCATATTATGTCTATGGCCTATGTACACAACACGGTACACACGTGTTTTCGGTTAATAATTTGTTAATTTGTTATACCTACCTATAATTTGTATCGATACATTGTCATTTCGTTTTTATTATTTTAATAACACAGCGACGTCATCGAACACTCGAACCACGACATCATCACTGCTGCCGAAATATACCGCTTACCACCCGGCAGACTCCGGACGAAGTAAGAATTTTGACAAAATCACAAACATTTGCAATTTAATTTGAGTTGGAAATGTCCCCGTCGTATGCTATCTACGTAAAAATTGCAAGGCTGGGAAAGTTAATATTTTTTAATGTCGTTTATTAATGAAAATTTACAATCCATACAAAAATGGTACAATGAGTAGAAGTTTCACATTAGAAAATCCCACGTGGAAGGTAATTTAGGGAGAAATAGTTAATTACATGATTAAGTTTAATGTGCTTTGAGAAGATCTCTGGGCCATTCACGTTTGAGGCATCTGGCTGGGTTGTCTGGAAGAGCATTGGTATGAAGTTGAGCGATGAGGGGGTTTGAGTGATGTTCCATATTGGAGTGCAGGCGAAGATAATATTTGATAGCTGTTTAATGGTGGGGATGTGGAGGTCATTATGAAGAAAAACATTTGTGACGTACCAAGGGGCTTTAGCAATCATCCGGAGGAAAATGGCTTGGAATCAGTGCCGTAAAAACCGGGTGTGCTAACTGGTTTCTAACTTCTTAACTTGTTAATGCCCAGCCTTGAAAAAATTAACCTCAAAAGTGTCTTTTTATGTCTTTTAAAAAACTATCAGACATTGGTCGGGTTGACTGAACGCGTCCTCGTTGTTCCTGTAATAAATTGCCTTTCGAGTATGTTTTTGCTCCACATGACGTTATATTACATTTTACTTTTACGTGTCTCCTGACTCCCATTAACACTTGATTGTTTGTGTTTAAACACATGTATGTGGATTTATGAAGTTCTTGCCTCTTGGTACCTTTAGTTAGTAGTAGGTACCTATCTTTTAGTTTGGTGAAGAAAATTGCACGTACCCCCAAAAACTATTTTGTAATTTTTTTTTTTTGCGCTATTAGTTAGTGCTCAATTCATGTGAATTCCGAACTTGTTTTTATAATTCCAACTCTACCAGTTTTCTCAGAAACTAGAAAGTAAAACTTTCTACGCTACTTTAGTAACATTGTCCCACCTATAGAAACTTTGACTTACTGAGAAAACGGGCAAAGCAGGAATTATAAAAAGTCAGCGATGGTGTACCGAATTTCATAAAAGAAATGAATAGGTAATGTGTAATATATTCTAGACTCTGGTATCTAGTATTCATGAATAATAAGCATAAGTACTTGTCCTTTGTGTATTGTTGATAATACATAAAAACATCAAAATACAATATTACCAACATAGAGTATAGGTATATGTGCTTTCGAAAAATTGTAATATAATCAACTTATTATGATTTACATACAATTTCCATCTTACATTTTTACTTCTCAAGTTCTGACTACATCCTACCCCGTCATCCCTACCAACATTGATTATATAAGCCAATATGTCATTATCTATATCTATTCTAGTATTGTACTGCACTGATTTGAATTCAACTACAATAAATACCTAAGTATTAAAATAAGTACACATTCTTTAATAAACTTTATATTTTAATTCAATAATACTTTTATAACAATAAAAATATGCTTCCTCTTTAAATAGTATTGGGATCATGATATGAAGTTACAAATAAAGTTTTAGATTTTTCGGGACAGACATTCATACATAGGTAATTATTTAAGTACTTATTGAAAAACAACTTTGTTTTGCTAATAATATAATGAAGGCGCCAATATGTTAAATACATATTGCCGCCCCTAATATTATCTAATTATCCACTTAAAATTGGCGCTCGATGCGGTTTAAGTGCCTTAATCTAGCGTATTGTGTGTAGTCATATAAAAAATAACAATCTCATATAACTAGGTAATCACTGTTAAACACTTATGAAACTAGGGAGTATAACTTTATTAGAACAACTTACATATCTCTTCATATCTCTCTTTTGTATTATTATAAAGTTAAGTACTTCCTCGAATATTTCTGTGTTTTCTATTGATATATGATATGCTATTATAACTAAATAATAATTAGAATTTATTTTGACAGTTTTAAATTTAAACTTACTTTTGATTTGAGTTGAAAATGGAGGTGACGATCAGTGCAAACATGTGGCAGAGCCAGCCCACTGTTAATGACTTAATGACATAATTTTTCAAAAAATATTTAGTTTACCACATATGTTATGTTTAGGGGTAGGTACTTTAAATTAAGTGTTCCTAAAACAGACGCTTAATTTCAGTTTTTTAATTGTTGGTGCCAAAATTCTTTTTCACCTATAAATAACTTACTAAATATTTTACCCATTTGACCTTAAATATACGTAATTTTAATGGTTGATGTTCACAGTAATATTATTGATACACCCTAAGGAAGACACAATTCAGTATGGAACCATTAAGAGCATCCAAAGTAAATTCCAAGTAAGCAAATACAATATTAGGATATGAAACATTACAACAATTTTAAATTTTAACCTACATTTTTAAATTATTTTATTTGATAAAATTAAGTGTTCTATAATTTATTTAGTTAATACCTACATTGTATCTGATTTAAACAGTAAATGTCTAAATGTACCTACAAAATAATATATATTTTATATTAATTGTTTGCAATTTCTTTTAGGTATTATAATAAATTGCACAGTTCTAGAGCCCTGACTATTCCAATTATTAGATGTGAAGTATTCAATAGAGTTATTAAAGAAGAGTTTATTGATAATACAGACCATACGAATGAGAATCATTTATTACAAACGGGGTAAGAATTTTATATACTTCATTGCATAATATGAAATTTAATTATACTAACCTAACTGATAAACAAGTATACTTAACAATTAATTTGACAGAAAATATAATAGAAGTAGAAGCCTTCCAATGATAGAATCCTACTGTCGCTACTAACAGACACTAATTACTATTTCAATCAAGCCTTGTAATCATTTATTATTTTATTTGTAAGTTTTGTGATTCTGGATGATTCTTTTATCATTGAACACTCGTTATTTCAAGAAGTGTAAATATTTTTGAAAATATTATTTTACAGTGTCAATTAAATTTTCAAATATTATCCTTATAATTTAAGTCATTCATCCTTATATAATATTATAAAGGTGACCAAACATGCAAATACCATGGCAATTGTCTCACTGTCAATCTTTTACAAAAAAAAAAGAACAAAAATATTTATTAACTTAACAGAATCTAAGCTTATTGAAAACTTTGTACATATAATTAGTGTCCAAAGCTTCATCCCCAGCATCAAATATGCAATGCGGTCTGGTTAACCTTGTTATGATATTAGTTATCCAGAAAATGTTTTCTATTCCTTATTTTGTCCGTGAGGTTTTTATCGATAATTAAACGAGTTTGGCTTATAAAACTCAAATAATTATTATCTATATTTAAAATAAAACTTTACTGTTTTATAAGATGGCTGTCAACAGGTGAGTTCTCTCGTGTTGATGGTTACTGTCAAACTATATGACCCGTGTGTCATTTTAATAATAACTTATTATTAATAAGTAATAATTGGTCGGGTGGAAAAGTGTTAAGTCTGTATATTTTGTATTGGTCAATCATACATTGTGTATACAAAAGTTACAGGGCCTAATAACATTTAAAGATAAGATTATGAAGAATATTTTAGATGATTTTTTTATGTTAAGAAGCAGGATCCAAGAATTTTAGAACTACATTTTTTGTAAATTTAAGAATAATGATAACTTGTTTATACACTAAAATTTCAAGAAAATACTCCAAGATGCCCGATTCTCTGGCTTTGTCAAAGATCCTTGCAAGATAGAAATATAATATACATTTTCTATTTCCAATGTGCCAATTTGTCTAGTCTAGTCACTCTAGTGGAACATTAATATGAATTTGCTTAAGTGGGCAATTTGAAATAGACTTCCTCACACTTTTTATTTTAAACCTAGGTATTAATCCCAAAAAAATAGTACTTTTCATATAAATTCCTTAGATTAATTTTACGTTGAAAATATAAACGTCTGATTTCATATTGAGGTTCGTGAAGATAACGACAAAAATACAGATAATCACCAGTTTTGAAATTTCAATCCCCTTAACTATTGTCATAACTTATAATCATTGGTATACATCTTTCTATATTATTTGTGCTTCTTAAATTGAGTAGTGAAAGCATTGTTTAATTTATTATTTTTTCTATTAATTGCATAATAGCAAACATAAGCAAGTTAGTGATAATTGTTAATTCAGTTAAGTTAAGTTGATAGAAAATGTTTTTAAAACTTTAAAGTTAATAGTTATTCTATTTTTTGTTTAACTCAGTTAAGTTAAAAGTTATATGGAACTTACAAATAACTTATTAACTGAAGTTGTTACTTATGTTTATTTTTTCAATTAATAAATAGCCATTGGCTTGAAATAATAAATAGTATAAGTTTATGCAATATGCATCATAAATAATTATTTATAAATTAACGTAACTTGGATTTGATTAAAAATAACTCGTTATTTATTAAGTTTATATCAATAAAAATCAGTTACGGTACAACATAGGTTAATGAATAGGACATTAAAAAAAAAAAAATTAACCTAACTTTTCACTTAACTCTTTAATTTGTTTATGCCCAGGATATCATAATATTATAAACACAATTTTAATAGCTACTTAAATATTGAACAAATTAAATATTTTGTCTAACTTTAACACTTGATTAAATTTAATATAAATATGTTAAAATACCAAAAAAATTATACATCTACATAATTATCAAACTTCTTATAACAATCTACATAATATTAATTTTTGAAATAATTTTTATTTTTAGACCTAAATGTGAATTTGAAGAGGAAATAAACCCCAGTGATCCCAAAATAAAAATCGAAAAGGATTTGAACGATGGTAATGTGTTCCAAGGATCAGTTAAAAATGAGTGCCACTCTACGGAATTAAGTATTCATATGAATTCGGACAATACATCAAACCCCAGTGATCCCAAAATAAAAATTGAAAAGGATTTGAACGATGGTAATGAGTTCCAAGGATCAGTTAAAAATGAGTGCCACTCTACGGAATTAAGTATTCATATGAATTCGGACAATACATCAAACTTAAGTAAAACATTTTCAAATTTGAATGATTTTAAAGTCAATAATAAACTTCAAACTCATAATAATAATCAAAAACGTAATATCTCCGATAAATTATTATTTAACTCAAAAGCATACTTCACAAAACATTCTAAGATTCAAACTAGCAAAATAAAAAAAAGGTTTGTTTGTGACAATTGTAAAAAGTCATATTCCACTAAATCAGATCTGATTACACACATATTGTGTTGTACGGGAGCAAAGCTCTATAAAACTGATATTTGTGATAAAGGGGTTTCTCAAGCAGGTTTAAAAAAGAATAAAAGAACACATACTGGATTAAAGTCATATAAATGTGATATCTGTGCTAAAGTGTTTACTCAATCAGAAAACTTAAAAAAGCATAAAAGAACACATTCTGGTGAGAAACCATTCGTATGTGATATCTGTGATAAAGGGTTTACTGCAGCTGCAACTTTAAAAATTCATAAAAGAACACATTCTGGTGAGAAACCATACGTATGTGATATCTGTGATAAAGGGTTTACTGCAGCTGCAAGTTTAAAAATTCATAAAAGAACACATTCTGGTGAGAAACCATTGGTATGTGATATCTGTAATAAAGGGTTTACTGCAGCTACAAATTTAAAAAAGCATAAAAGAACACATTCTGGTGAGAAACCATTCGTATGTGATATCTGTGATAAAGGATTTACTCAATTAGAAAACTTAAAAAAGCATAAAAGAACACATTCTGGTGAGAAACCATTCGTATGTGATATCTGTGAAAAAGTGTTTACTCAATCAGAACACTTAAAAAAGCATAAAAGAACACATTCTGGTGAGAAACCATACGTATGTGATATCTGTGCTAAAGTGTTTACTCGATCAGAAAACTTAAAAATTCATAAAAGAACACATTCTGGTGAGAAACCATTCGTATGTGATATCTGTGATAAAGGGTTTACTGCAGCTGCATATTTAAAAATTCATAAAAGAACACATTCTGGTGAGAAACCATACGTATGTGATATCTGTGCTAAAGTGTTTACTCAATCAGAAAACTTAAAAAAGCATAAAAGAACACATTCTGGTGAGAAACCATTCGTATGTGATATCTGTGATAAAGGGTTTACTGCAGCTGCAACTTTAAAAATTCATAAAAGAATACATTCTGGTGAGAAACCATACGTATGTGATATCTGTGAAAAAGTGTTTACTCAATCAGAATACTTAAAAATTCATAAAAGAACACATTCTGGTGAGAAACCATACGTATGTGATATCTGTGATAAAGGGTTTACTGGAGCTGCAAATTTAAAAATGCATAAAAGAACACATTCTGGTGAGAAACCATACGTATGTGATATCTGTGATAAAGGGTTTACTGCAGCTGCAAATTTAAAAATGCATAAAAGAACACATTCTGGTGAGAAACCATACGTATGTGATATCTGTGATAAAGGGTTTACTCAATCAGAACACTTAAAAAATCATAAAAGAACACATTCTGGTGAGAAACCATACGTATGTGATATCTGTGATAAAGCGTTTACTCATGGTGGAGGTTTAAAAAAGCATAAAAGGACACATACTGGAACCAAGCCGTGATGTATGTGATATAAGTTGTTCTACACAATCAAATTTAATAAAGCATTTGAGAACACATACTGGAGTAAAGCTATAAGAATGTGATATCTGCAATAAAAAGTTTTGTTCAGTATCAAGCTTAAAAACCCATGAGAGGAATTATACCAATGAAAGGCCTTAAAAATGCACATTTTTTTACAGGTTTTTTAAAATTATAAACCTTTAATTTTTATATATTTAAAAAACAAATGTAATTACAATCATCACTATACTTTTAAACGATAAATTAATTTAAACTGTGTTCCTATGCTAATTTACAATTGTATTACATTTTCCCTCCACTAGCTGGTATTATACCATTTAATTTAGTAATTTACAATTTTTTTATAGAAATGTTTAATGTATATTGATGTAAAAATATAATATGTAAAATGTGTTTAATATTACGATACCTACTTAAAATGTTTTATAAAATATGTTTAAATAAAGATAATTTAATTTTAAAAATGATCAGTTATCCTTATTAAACTGGAGAATAACCAGGTTAACTAACCGCTTTGTTGTATATTTGGTTTTGATTGTATCTCCACATTAAGTGGTTAATAACTGTTGTGTTTCTTTTCATTATAAACTCATTGCATAAAAAAAAATGAAAATGTCTATTAATAGCTCAATAATAGATTCATAATAATATGAAAAATTATATTTATATAAAATTTTTTTGAAAATCCAATTATCTAAGTTTATAGTCTTTGAATTAAAAAAAAAAAAAAGATTTTTGGTTTTTTTAATACTGTCTTATAAAAATGCATATTTTCTTTATTTATTTTTATGTCTTTATACAGTATACAAGATAAGTAGAAATTGTTTTCAGTGAATCTAGTTGGTGCATTTGGGTTGTTAAAATTTAAAATTTCTGTTTTCAAAACCAACGGGAAACATAAATGTATTAGGGTGGCTCTAAACAATTGGACATTTAGATTTATAATCTCGCCAAAATAAACATATTTCTAGTAGTCCAATATTCATTTTTAATACCAATTTGAATTCATTACCCTATTTTTTATGTTTTGTAAGAAATACTTTTTCGACTTTTTGTTTTATTATCACTTTAAAGTTCAAGTTAATTTTAAGAAAGTAAGTAAAGTTATTTAAAACCGTAATACGTAGATTATCCAAAATGTCCAAAATCTGTTTCCTACAAAATACAATTCATAAAAAAAGAGGCTGACAAATTCAAATAATTTTTTGAAACTGAAATAGAATTACTAGAAGTATGCTAACTTTTCGCCAGCTTATTAGCAGTATTCCGCCAGTCCGTAGGCGGACGATATTAAATCTATTGTTATCAAGTTGGAATTTCTTCAAATTTCTAATTTTATATTTTACACATAAGAACCGCGCTCACACATTTACTACCAGCGCAAAGATTACTGGCGGCGACGAAAAGATAAGAAATTGCCTAAATTGTGTCCCTTAAATAATAGCCACTAAGAAAACCTTGAATTTTTAGGCCTAATCGGTTTTCGACAAAATTGATTTCGGTTCTTGGTGTAATTCTAAAATAAATTTCTAGAAATACATGAAATTTACACTGAATGTTAATATCAACATTTTCCATACACCCAGGATCGTTTTCAAGTGGGGTAACGAAGACATTTTCCCTGGGGGACAATTTTTTATACATTTAGGTGGGCAGGCAAGGCACCGGTGTATCTTATCTAATTAACATTTTTTTTTTTTTTTTGGTAAGAATTTGTTTGATGACCTATGGACTACTTGGACTTTTTGCATTGCATGACTATGGTACGGCCACATTACGTAATTTACTAATTTTGTCAGTTATTGATAACTATATGTTTTTGTCATTTATTTTATAGTTTACTATTGTATATTCTTTTATTTTACATTTTTACAATAATTAAAATAATATATCATCATTAACGATAAAAGCTTGCAAAGACGACCCATTGTCGATGTGATGCTTAAAATTAGTTTTAATATTATTTATTATCGGCTATATCGATAGACTATTTGTTGCGGTAAGTGAATTTATCGTTTTTGTACATTGTAGTTAATTTTTTTTTAATACAAACTAGTCAAATCAACGGAAATCTGTTTAATTTTATGTTAAATTTTGTTGTTACTTTTCTTTTAAATTAAATGCTTTTTCAGGCATTTTTCACATTTTAAATGCTTTTTTTTATTGAAAATATTGCTTCAATTCTGAACCCTAGTTATTATATTATGTTATTATTCGTTCGCGTGGCAGTTCAGACGACTGGTATTGCGTTAGATTGTAACAATATAATTATAATTATCAGTGGCGTATATAGAAATTAATTACGGGGAGGATAAAAAAAATTTAGTTAAGCGGGCTGGAGCTTGATTCATTTTCGGCCGAAAACAGCTCACGACTAATCATTACGCCCAATATAATATTCTGATATTTATTTTGAAAGCAGATTTGAATTCGTCACTAAATTATCTATGCTTTGACAATTTCATTTTTCTGATTTTATTTTTTTTACTTTTAAATTTACTAACAAAAAGAGTAAAAATAGATCATATTCATAATTAAGGGAAATATTTAAGTCCTCCCCTAAAATTCAATCAAATCTCCATATATGGCTTTAGCCTGTATTGTTGTATAGAGTTTGGTAGAGGATTTTTCCAACATCGTGTCTTATACTTCCAGTGGGCTGTGATTATGCCTTGTAACTACACTAATATAACACCCATGACTCTTACTAGTATTTAAATACTTATTATTATATTTTATATTTTAAATTTTAAAAATATTAAATACAAAATTATTTTAATCTAAATTTTTAGGATGTGTTTTTTATATTATTTTTAGCCTGAAATGGTTTATTGTCGATGATTGAATTTTGTTACCGGTTAGGTAATATTAAATATATGACAAATATAACCTACAGGGAAAATAATTTTTGTGTAAAACAAAAAGTATTTGAATTACTTTTTGAATATATGTGTTAATATTTGTATTTAAATACCTCTAAAAACTATTGTTTAACAAGTATGGACATATGCGTAATCTGAGGTACCTACCTAAATTCTTGGGGGAGAAAACCGTGGTAAACTTAAAATTCTATAATTTAAAATGACACTATCTCCCATTCAGATAGATATCCATATCCGAAGGGGTAGTTTCCCCTCATTCCCCCCAGATTACGCTTATGAGTAGGAATATACTTTTATCTATCTTTATAGTCATGTCTCATAAACACATATATACATATAAATAATAAACTAATTAATACACGTTGAATATAATAATTTATCAGCTGTATCATATTGTATTATTGAACATCTTAGATCATATACTATAGATACCTTTATAGTACCTATAGTATAGTAGACAGTAGTATAGGTATAAGTGTACTACCTACTTATATTAATTAGTAACTACAATTTACAATTATAAAAATATGATCCAAGCCGCGCTATCTGATATAGAGACTAGAGAGACCTTATGTCCTTATATTATCTTCAGGTTTTTAAGTGGGGGGGGGGGGCACAGGAGGACTCAGTTCCCTACCTCTGACAGCGATTAAGAAGCGTCCCCTTTAACAAATTAGGATTTTATACATTAGACACTAGACATAAAATTATATAGGGAACGCTTAAAACTATATGGAGACATTAGTCCCTTCTGGAATTTTTTGCTCTACACCGTGATCCAAGCAGCTGAGGCTGACTGCCGAGTCTGCTGTGCTCATTACAAATATATAAACAATTTTATATATTAGCTGTGGTTAGCACACGGACTAATAGCGTTTTCCATCGTCTAATTTATCCACACTACAATGGTACCACTCGGACACTGATACATCACGGTTTAAGATGGACTATAGTCTATCTTAAACCATAGTATAAAGAATAAGAAGTATGCTCAACTCAAACCGTGTTTTCGTCCTATTTCGCGCATGTGCATCGCCTTGTGTTTTTCTGCATACTGCAGTTGTGCATTCGTGTTTGTTCGTGTTGGTGGTTCGGATTCATGCAATCGGTTCGTGAGCAACGATTATGGCGCCTTTATTTAAAACATATTATACCAATCACTGTATAATGGATGGTATTAAACTTGAATTCAATGATATAATACCATTGTATAAGAAAAACGATTCTGAGCGGAGACGGTATGAGGAATGTTATAAACTTATCTATGGTATTAAAAAAAAATTGACCTTTTATAGGTACCTATAATAAATTCCAAATTAATCATATCACAATATCCATTAAGTACTTACTGGGTATATACTTATATAGTTATATAGTTAATTTATCCGAGTTGTTAATAGAGCAACTGCACTGTGTTACTGTAAACCTTAGGGCTTAGATCATATTATACAATGTATGTAAGCTGTAAACACAGATTATATTATTATATAATATGATAATATGAAAAATTCATAAACCATAATATAATCATACATCTTAATCACGATTTAAGATATACTTAAATATCTAGGTACATCTTAAATCGTGATCTTAATTCATAATTAAAGTGTCAGTAGTCGTGCAGTGTGTTACTGACATTAAGTTCTTTTAATGAAATAAGTCATAACTAAATATATATAACAAAACTAAATAAACTAAATATTTAACAGAAATTAACAATTTATTATAATATTATGTCACTGTCTAATCCAATAACATACCGTGTCTTTTATACCATGTATAGTAGGGTATTATATATTAATCAAACTATGTAGGTATAACAATATAATACTGTCAATTGTCAGTGTCATATCATAAATATTGTTATTACTTATTAATATGATAAAATTTCAAATGTTCATCAATAATAATAAATGTTTTACTTATACGTTCGTTTTTTTCTCCGTGATAATTACAACATTTCCAAGGGGGAATGTTCCGCTCAGAGGACACTGCTTTTGCCGTACTGCACATCACTGGAAGATTACACAGTCGTTATCCACCTATTTGCACCTAACACAAAACCATTTACCGTATTCTATTTTACAGGGAGATTT